TCATTACTCATTACAGCATCACTCCTTTTGCATCACAGAAGTAGGAAACACTCCACTCAAATTTCATCTCTACCACTAGAATCCTCCTATCTTTCAAAATCAACAAGATAAACCTTGCAGGCTTAAAAGGTATATTAACCGGTATTCCTTATACGTCCCTAAATAATAGGCCATATTAGATTGAAGGTCAATTTTAAGGAATTGGGTTTTATTACCAAGGCGGTCCTTCTTTTTGTAACTTTTTAAATCATTACCATGCCACATACTTAGTTTTATCATTAAGGGAAGTAGGAAACACTACACTCAAATTTCATCTCTACCACTAGAATCCTCCTATCTTTCAAAATCAACAAGATAAACCTTGCAGGCTTAAAAGGTATATTAACCGGTATTCCTTATACGTCCCTAAATAATAGGCCATATTAGATAAGGAATTGGGTTTTATTACCATGGCGGTCCTTCTTTTTGTAACTTTTTAAATCATTACCATGCCACATACTTAGTTTTATCATTAAGGGTGGTATGGATGATTTATAAGTTTTTAAACTAAACCTATATAGTTTATTACAATCCAAGAGTAGGATGTGGTCTATTCATTAGGGATGGAAGAAGTCTAATACAAAATTCACATGGCTTATAGTTGAAGTATAATTTCTCATATTTGTCAAGCCTAGAAGCTACAGCTGCAACTTAATACAGAGACACCACTGTTTGCTGTTCAAAGATTGTCAAACAGCCAACAAAAAAATTTAGTTAATGAAAATGCAATTGGTATATTTCTAACACTCACCAATCAACTTCAAGCTTCAGCTTAATACTCAAATCACTGTACACTATACTAAAATCACAATCAATTTTCAATATTGCATGTCAGGGTAACCATTTTGAAGAACATGTTAGGCTTAATAGGAGTAGCATTGTTTGAGTGGCAGGCTCCAATTGAAAGGAACCGCACATAGAGTGTTTCATTTGGATAGCGAGTTCTTTTTATAGTAATAAGTCAAGTCAAGGCATGTTTAAAGAAAATCGAAGACCCCAGAATAGAACAATTCTTCCATTACTGAAACACCAACATAATCCCACCAGCCCACCACACTTATCTGAAAGTGTACTCGCACTAGATTGTCAGAATTTTAACATAAACTCTTCGTTTTTATATCCGAAAGAGAGTCTTGGACATGGTTTTCCAAAGCTGGTAGGCATTCAAATCCATGAGACAATCAATGATCAACATCAAACAAATGCTAGAGTAACAACTATTACTAACAATCAACTAAAAGGCTGAATTTCGCAGCTTAATGACACGAAACGCCTTTAATTCACTCCTGTAACTTCTGGTAAACCCATAATTGACCCATAAAAATCTTTCTCCTCGAAACAAGCTCAATTGAACAATTGAAAATCAATTCCACCACCACAATTCATCATTTTAGGGTTCTTGGCACTATAAATCCTACATTATCCCTAAATTAAGCCAAAAATTTGACCTAAATTCAAATTCAACAGCACAAATTTCCATTTCCAAGTGCTTAAGTTTCTAAATTTGCAAAACACAACTAATTTCTTAAGATAAGCCGATAATATAGCCTACATTATCAATAAAACAGTTAAAAAAAAACCGAATTTCAAAAAATATAAAACTACAAAAAAACGCTAAATACCTGGAAGAAAAGATTCCGATTAAACAAATCAATAAATTGTTAGCAAGGAGCTAGGGTTAGGTCGATGATGAAAGATTATCGGAAAACGCCGAAAAACACGAATTTCAGAAGATTCCACGAATATTCCAACGGAACTAAGATTGAGCTCGCCGGAGATTCCGTCGGAGGTTAAGAGTAATGAAAGAAGAGTGAGAAAATAGCCGGAAAAATTGAGAGTTGCAGATCTGAGCAAATTTACAGAGAAGTTGAATTGAAGAAGACGAAGAAGAAAGAGAGAGAAAATGAAGATTTTAGCTGAGAAAGAAGTTTACCCAGAAGATTAAGCGTCGAAAGTTAAGCGCCGGAAAAGTAGAGATATAGAGAGAAAGTGGAATAGAGAGAGTGTGTGTGTTTGGGAGGAGAGAGAAAGAGGTTCTTGGTGTTTTTGGAGAGGGTGAACTTTTTTTTTTTTTTTTTTTTTGGGTATGGCCGTATGGGGTTTAGCACGTGATATTTTGATTAGATTATGATATTTTTTGCCCGTTTTATATTAATTGCAACACTTTGCTTAGTGAATTAGGGTCTGTTTATATTTACTGAACTGAACTAAACTGATTGGAGCTGAACTGAACTGAACTGATTGGAGCTGAACTGAACTGAAAAATTAAAATGCATAAAATTGAACTGAACTGAACTGAAAAATTAAAATGCATAAAACTGAACTGAACTGAACTGTTAGAGCTGAACTGAAATGAACTGAACTAAGCTGAACTGAACTGATTGGAGATGAACTGAATTGAACTGAACTGAACTGATTGGAGCTGAACTGAATTGAACTGAACTGAACTGATTGGAGCTGAACTGAATTGAATTGAACTGAACTGAAAATAAGTAAATATGAATAGGCCCTTAGTTTATACTCTCTTCGTTTTTAAATGCTTGCTCTACTTTTCCTTTGCAGCCATTTTTAAATACTTACTCTATTTTCTTATTTAAAAAGCTTATACTAAAACCTAACGCATAGAGAAATGGTGTAAGAATTTAAAAACGAAGGGAGTACATTGAAGAAATTGTAAAGTTTAGACTAGTGAGATGATAATCATCGATCAGAGAGGATTGTTAGTGGAAATAAGATTAATAAAAATGATTTAAAGAGATGTTATGGAAGAGTTAATTAATAAATAATGTTTGTATACAAAAAAAAAAATTCAAGAATGATGGATTCTTCTCGACTTTAAAAGTGATGCAAGTGAGAGAAAAAAAGTGAAAAGGAGAAGTCTTGTAATTAATCAGAAACAAAGCGAATCGATGCATAATGCATAAACCTTACTTGTAAATGCTACTTTATGTGTCCATAACAGTGTTCAAACTACGATATATATTTCTATTTTTAAGCTTCTTATTATTATACATAGCTCAAGTAACAATGAATATTATTACTCCCTTCGTGATTTAATAAGTGTTACAGTTTGACCTTTTTCACTATTCACATAATAGTTTTGACCTGATTAATTTACTAATATATAAAATACAAATTTTATTATATAATACATTGTTGGAATCGTTATAATGTATACTTTCATATCATAAAATTTCCTATGATTTTATTAACATACGGAGTATAATTAGATAAATTAAGGGTTAAATTCGTGTCTCGACATACGTGTTTCGTCAAACTATAACACTTATTAAATCAATCAAGGGAGTATGTTTTTAATTAATGTGGGGACCATAGTAAGTAGTGTGAGTCAATCTAGGCTGTACATATAGTTATCTAACGGCTGGAATTGAATTAATTATTTTTTTAAAAAAACAGGCGCCATTAAAAATAGTAAAAACTCGATAAGATTGGTCATTTGCAACAATTGCAAGCTGTCAGAATGTTTTGCAAATAAAAATTCCTATAAAAATCTTTTAAAAAATGGAGTAGTATTTAATTTACAACTAATAGTAGGAGTATTAATAATTAATAATAAAATAATAAAGGATTAATAATAAAATAATAAAGGGTTTAATACTAGCATGACTCTGTCACTATCTTCTGTCAATTCCTGCTAATAATTTGGTTTGGTTTTCCAACTTCCTTAGAAACTCAACAATTATTTGGTCATTGCCAGTTGCACTTCCCACTTGTGTTGATTTACTGTTGCTTTAGATCTCCACAATAACACCAACCCCTTTAACCTTTTTATAGTGCAAAGACGTTTTTTATTTGTGAATTTAAACACGTACTTGTTCATTCGAGAATACCTAATTTAAAGTACATTTAACCACAAGTTTTAATTATTTTAAGTGTACTTTTCGGAACATGAAGTTACTAAATAATAAGCTCACATTATGGTTATACGTAGTATTTTTTTTTTTTTGTAAGCCTGGAGTGTATGATGTTATTAGCACTTATAGCAAGGTGGTATAATAATTCTTTCAATGATACAAATAATAAGCTCACATTATAGTTATATTTCTGACTTAACACTTGCAAATTTTCAAAAAAAAAAAAAAAAAAAAAAAGTAGATTGGCAAATATCGTATCTAGTGGTAGAGTTATACATCGCTTAAACACTTTTTTTAAGGTCTTGTTAGGAAAATAATTTGTCGATAACTGAGTAATTAAACCCATTACTATGATTTATGAAACATTTTTAGTTAAAGTATATGTTGGCAATTAGCTGTTAGTTCATGTGACATTTACATTTATACAAGCTAAAATAATTATCTCACTTTAAGTTTTTATATTACTACAAGTACCTATTACTGAGGCATTGACTTTTTAGACGTTGACTTTCACAGTTTTCTTTGTATATTGATTCTAAAGATCCACACTGTCTTTGGAACCAAAAAGCATCAAAGATTTAGGGAATAAATTAATGAGGGAAACTGCCAAAAGAATAGATAAAAAAAATATAGGGTGGTGGATTAGTGGTGGTATTGGTAGACTAGCCAAAATTGAAAAAGACGGAGAAACGCAACCTTTATAGCAAAAGTGTCCGAATAAAGGTAGAAATGAGCACAACCAATTCCTCTTTTTAATGAGACCAAACTAACCCCTGTTTTAATGGATCAACACCCAACCAACCCAATCTAAAAGTCTTCGAGGCTGCTGGAGTGGCAGGCGGTGTTCGAGAGAGACGAGGGAGGAGGTTATACCCTTTTACTTGACTGCTGAAGACTGGCAGATATGCAGAATAGTTGTTTCTGCATTTCATATCAGTTTTATCACGGCACTTGTTAGTTCGGTAACGACACCGTTATAAGTTTATAACCAAGGCAATACATATCTTCCTAAGCTAAATCAAACGCAGATTAAGTTGATGTTCATGCAAGAACGAAGCAAAACAACCGATGCCATATCTTACATGCTTTACTGAAAGAATGAAGTTAACCTTTCACTTTATGAGTAATGAAAATAATGAAGATGTAACAGTTTTGCATAATTAGATACAATTGAGTAATACCCCCCAAAAAATATAAAGTCCAATCCTTATGGTATTCATGCTATACAATACAACACCCCAATTCTCACAAAATCTCTTCCAAATTAGTTGGAATTATGCTACAAGTGACTAGTATTGAATTCCTAAGGGTAACAGTTAGTATACATCAATACAGTTTCTAATCAAGCGAGGACGTAGATTCTTCCTGAAACACTCAGATAAATTGAAATGCTTGGACTTGCAGTAATTTGGCGAGTTGTGAGATTGATACTAAATTCCCATGGATGAAAAGCTTGATACAGACACTGGTTGAAATGATCATGCAACACCCATTTGTGGACTTAACATCTGAATCTGTGTTACATATACAAGTATAAATAGAGCATGAATTTGCAAGAATTGTGAAGGAAGATAAAATGATCCACACAAACAAGGCTGAGAGTACCTTGTTGACAAGTAAGTTGACTTGTTCTCTGTACATTTCTTTCAAGTCCACGATATCAGCACGAAGTTCTTCCAGCTAAACAGCAAAAAATAGTTATAATAAGCACTTTCCTAAATGTATTACTACCTCCGTTTCATATTTTTTGCAATTTTTGAATATTTTATGCCTCACAAATAATACCTCAAAGTTGCAAAAAAATGGGACGAAGAAAAATGACTTTGGGGGGGAGGAGGCAGAGTGGTATCTATCCAAAATATGCAGATAGAGAGGATGGGCAGAAATCAAGCCAAAAGCTCATTTCCTACTTGAGACTGTAGTAGGCTGCTCAAACTCAGGCCAACATAAATCATGCTGTTTCTAGCATTATCTTTCATTACAATAGGCCCAGAACACTGGACTGACCATTTGATGGTAGCTTCAGCAAGATTGTCAAGTAGATCTCTAGGGATAGTAATTTAGCACTCTATGACAATACCACAATGCTATATACGAAGTAAAACTTTACTACTCGTCAACAACAATTAGTAAGGTTAATTCTGATAGATAGCTAGAAGGTAATCTAGCATAAGTAGAAATCTGTTAGAAAAATAATAAATAAATAACCTTCAAAGTTTAAACTGTATAACAGGCAATGGACTATAGAAGGCCAATTTTGATGCAGCAATAAAATAAAACAAAAATTGACAGACCTTTAAGTTTTGATCAACCAAGGACAAAAAATTTACTCATAGCATCAAACTGGTTTTGCAGTTCTTTTCAGCAAAATCTTAGCCAGTCCAGAGAGTGTGAATAAAGAAGAAATGTTACTGTCTACTTCACATTGTTTAACTTTCAAAGCTTTTGAATAAGACTTCTGTGAAAATTTTCAAATAGTAGTATTTTCAACTCAAATTGCTAAAACTCTCTCATATCGTTTGATTCAAAGCTTTTGAATAAGAATTAAATTTATTCTTGAACTATATTCATAAACAAAATTAATAATTATAACATATAAATTGTATTTTGAAACTTTTACTAAAAACTAAAATTTAACACTGTCAACAAATAGCATATTTGTAGCAAACTAATAAGCTTGTTTGGTAACACTATTAATCGATAATTGAGGGCTTATTTGACAAGTGAATGTATAACATGTTTGGTTGAATTAGAAGTTGGCAATTAGCTGGACACTTTTGTTTGTACTCCCTCTTTTCTTTTTTTGTTCTACTCATTTTCAACTTTTTCCCATTCTTTTTTGTTTTATAATATTTTAGGCATACCTCATAATACCATCTTCCCCCCCCCCTCCCCTCCCTCTCTTCTTTTTATCCCATAATAATTATACCTTTCTAGTTTCCACACACTTCATATAAGCAACAATAAGATGTACGGGGAGGAACTGCCCGAGAACAATTTAGATCTTGAAACATAAACAAATAAATAAAACCCTTATTCCCTGAGATTAGTATCCAGAAAAACTGTCCCCTTTGAGACATAAAAATTTCACATAAACTGAGGATTGTAGTTTTTTGAGTGGAGGAGAAAAAAGTATTACACCTTTAAGAAGCGTAGTTCTAATTACTAAAATTAACTCAGTGGAAACAAAATGTAATTGCTCAACTGAAACCAGAGTCACTAACCAAAATCCACTAGATCAATCTAAAAGATGGATACATTCTTTGGCAGGGAGCAAGTGTTCAGAATCATACTATATATTTTTGCTAAAATATTCTTGAATCAATTCTCTCGCCAACACATGTGGGGAGATAATTCAAAAGGTCAAAAATTTAAGCTATAGCATACCTAAGTTTGCAAAATTCAGACTTAATGTCATGGAATGAGCAGCCTGGTAAACTGACTCACTAAGACCTTTTCCAAACAGTTCATCACACCATATACAATTACATTAAGGACGTCACGTCAATGAAAAAAGAATCATTTTGATAATGATTGTGTCATTTAACTAGTAAAGGATAAAACTAAATAACAATCACTACAGCACATATCTCCTTACTGCACTAAAGTAGCATAATTAACATACCTCCTCATCACGTTCACCCATCAGCTCTAGAGCGGCAGTATGTCTCCTTCTCAGAGACTCTAGCTCTGCCCGTATGCTGGGCAACATAGAAGCTTCACTCCGCAATTTCTCACACTGCAAAGCAGATAAAAAGTAAGCAAGACAACAACACATGAACCCATAATATGTTTGTGGAAGAACAGTTGAACAAACCTGCTCAGTCATTTTAACTAGTTCTTCAGCAAGTGAGTCCCGTATAGATTCCAATGAAGCCTATAAGTACACAAAACTTAGAATTTAGAAATCACGGAAAACAATACACAAGGACTGGTGCAGCCATTAAGTTGTTTTACTCTAGTGGTTTCTACCTACCAATGTTAATTACCATCATTTGATCCATAAATTGGCAAATTGAGAATTCTTCTCCAATAATATAATCATTAAAAAGTAAGAAGATCAAACATGCCACCATAATGAAGAGGGAATTTCTCTTAAAATTTCTAGATGGATAGGTTAAAAGTGATGCATGAGAAACAGTTCATCATAATTTTTAACTCTTTAGGGATTCCAGCTTCAAATCATGAAGCTGTTAGGAACACAACTATAAGTAGAACTCAACATGCTATGAAGTGACCAAATTCTACCATTTAATATTCTTGTGTTGATAACGTCAATGGGATCCTGACCATGAGAACAGAAGATATTTCTTTAGTTGAGACTTTTCGTACATTCAAATACATACTCAAGTACCCAAGACAATAGTAGAACTTTAAAAAAAAAAAAAAAAAAAAAAAGACAATAGTACGAACTAAAAAAGGTTGGCTCTTGAAGTCAAAACAGCATTAAAACATACCAGGCGAGACATATATGATGCAAGTTCTCCCTCCTTTTGTCGAAGGGCGGCTTCAAAGGCACTAGGTGTCATGCTCTTCAAGTAATAAGGACTCATGATAGCCTCTCCAGAATTTCTCCGGTCTAGGAAAGAGGAGGAAGAGTCTAGAGAAGCTTGCAAGAAGAAGCTTTCTTCCATATTACCCACACTGCTGGCGCTTGAAAGTTTACGTGTTAAGTTCCCTGTAGACGCAAATTATATTAGGAAAAAAAAATGGTCACTATTTTACGGGTAAATAACAAATTGATACCATTTTCAAGTGTCGATTTGTTCTTCATTGTTGGACTTTGATCTGACGCAGAAGAAGACTGTACATGAGCAGCCTTTTCCAAATCTAATCTAGCTGCCTTTTCCCGATCTAACTCCTATTATAATCCAAAAACAAATAAATACAATTGAATGTGTGAACAGCAACACTGAAGATGCAGTGAGAATACATGATAGATGATAATCATAACCAAATGCTAACCTGCTGTAGAAGTTCCCTGTGGGTAAGGGCTTCTTGCAACTCATTTTTGTATTTTCTCTTAAGTTCCTTGATCTCTTCTTCAAGCTGTTTTGCACGACCTTCATGAGTATCTGCTATTTCCTTTGCAGCAAGGTATTCTTGCCGATTTTCAGCTGCTCTTTGTCTTTCTTTTTCAAGAGACTTATTAAGCTGTGTCTGCTCTGCTCTGAGGCATGAAATCTACAAAATGTAACAGTATAAGCTACCATCTTCTTTTCAAAATAAACAAAAGGCTATGCATTCCATTTATTGTCTATACTAAGATATAGGAACTTTACCTGAGCTTCAAGAACATTGATCCGGGAAAGAGTTTGTGATAAACGCTCATTTATTGATCGCTCTCTTTCCTCCGCAGAAGCAGCTTTAGCTTCTGCTTCCTGTAAAAGAAGGCTTGTAAGAAATGCTTAATAACAGTTGTGTAGAGGTGTTTAGAAGATGAATAGAAACCTGAAGCCGAGATTGAAGAGTTCTCTCTACAGCTGCCCAAGCTTCAGCCTTGCGAGCAGACGTCTCCTGCAAGCAAAGAAGAATAAACATAATATCGGAAATCTTGTAAGCATATTTGCATCCTTCATTTTCCAAAAAGAATTTCTAATTAAGGGGAAAAACCTGCATAGCTTCAATTTGTCGCAGGAGAGGCCTAGTGGACTCAGGTAGTTGTGAAACAAGCTCCTCACACCGGCGCTCACTTTCCTAAGAAGCATCAAGAAAATAAGTAATATTGTTAGAAACTCAAATAGGCAGTCACCAGAATGAACTAGCACAAGTAAGGTAAGTTTTAAAAAACAAGACTATAACAGACTTGGTATCGTTTCTGAAGGTCCTCAATATCTCTGCGTAACATGTCTTCCTTCGCAATTGCCTATATAATACAATAAGAAAAAACCAAACATATCATCTTCAAACAGTACCTCATAGGAAAAGCAAAATAATATCAGCTTGCAGATAAATTAAATACACACTGGTGTTTAGAAAAGAACCTGCTGCTCCTGATTGCTTAATGTCTGTCTTAATTCCTCGAGCGCTTGGACAAGCATTGTTTCTCGTTCCTCGGCTTCCCTTAGACGTCCCTCCAACTCAGTCCGGGCTTCATTATTGGCCCGTGACTCTGCCAACGATTCAGCCTCTTTTGCTGCATTCAAAGCATTTGTATAATATTCCTTTTGACCTGCAAGCTCTGCTTGGTGCTTTTCAATCGTTTCTTGGAGCAACTTCTCAGTTGCAGCCTTGTCTTTCTTTATACTCTCCACTTTATTTTCTTCAAGCTGCACAAATCAAATAGAAACGCTCAGTAAGAATAAACAGGACATCACACCAGAACCATCTTGTAGAACCAAAGTTTACATCATATAGGGAGATAACCAGAGATGTTAAATGGCATATATATACTACAGTTACTAAAATAAGTGTACCCAGTTTAATGAATTATAATTTATTATCATCAAATTATTACCAAACCAAATATGGAGATAATGAAGCTTTTACCATCCTTACCTAAAATATTGTCCTAGATATCTCCCCAAACCCCAAAAGAAATAGATGAAGAAAAAGTTTATAAAAAAAAAGTTGCATGTTCTCCATAGAGGCCCAATGTAAGTTGAGGGGGGGGGGGAACACTCTTGCTTTTCTTTATATCAGATTCATCTAATGTTTCACTACACATGAAAATGTTGCAAAGAATTTTTCCCTGCTAGAGTTCAGTGTAAATAAAGCACTTTTCAATTGCCATGCAAAAGTATATCATGACAAGAACACTGCAAGTTTTCTTGGAAATTTTAAGTTGATCAAGCATATAAGTTGGAAAGAGTAAGGCTAACAGCATAACATGGTGAGGCAAATGGGCAAGCAAACATTTGAATGTCAAAGCAACAAAAATTATAATATGTAAAAGAGAAATAGACTCACAACTGACAAACTTTGTCTTAAAAACAAAAATAAAAGTGCTGAAACACAATTTTACATAATAAAATTGATTGGAGATACAGAAATAAGAGTTATGAAATAAATTTGAAGCATTTAAAAAGCTGGTTCTGTTTTAGAAAATGTGATGCAATTCATGGGTGGTCGGGTCAGAGACCAAAAAAGCATCTGTTCTCTATACCTAAAATCCTGAAGTAATAGGCTTGCACTGTTGCACATATCATCGCTTCATCATACAATAACAATGTTAAAGTACTACATCTGATTTATCGGTGATTAAGAAAAGAAATTTATTAAACTCTAAACTCATTTGAATTGTAACCCACGAATCAATTACCTGTAACTTCGTAACCAATGCCTTCTTCTCTTCATCCAATTCTCTAATCTAGCTTTCACAAAAAACCAGGAAAATAGCAAATTAGTACCCTTCAATAATTGGTTGGCTTACATGAAAAAATAAAGGAGAATAGAATAACAACCTGAGCCCTTAATTTTCTCATTTGAGCTTCTTGAGCGGCTTGCTTCTTTGAAAGCTCTTCCCCTATCATGGAATACAGGTAGATACAGATAAATACAGTAAATTTAATATGATCAGAAAGCTGCTAATACAATTATGGAGAGAAAATTAGATTCAAGGGAAAATTTTCCAAAGAGAAGCTCTTGAAAGGTTCATCTTTAGTTGACATATAGTTGTTTATCAAGATCAAATGATATATTCAAATATAAAACTCATGTACATTCTTTGGGGATCCATCATAGTTAGCCTTTAAATAGCTGAACTTATGATTAAATTGTTTCTGTAAAGTGCATTCTAGAATAAAATATGGGCTCTTACTACACAAGAAGACACAGAAAATTTCCCATTGTGCTTTTTTTAGCATCACGCCCTTTCAAGACTCTTAGTGGACAAACAGCCATTAAATCAATTGTCAAAATTCCATTTAAACTTTTATCTTACCATTTGGTATACTCAGAGATTAGAAATTTTGGTGACCTGAATTAGGCTTGATTTTCTACAATATGCAACTCAGTTTAACTAACTCACTCTCTTCACCGCTTTAATCTGAGGCTTCTAGCTTAAGTTTGGAAACATCAATATGATTAACAAGATTTTGAGCCAAGAAATCCCAGTGTTAAGGCTACTTGAAATTCCTGACTTTGTTAACATAACAAAGAAATCAATACAAGAGCCCTCGTCAAAATTTCTTAAAGAAGGTAAAAATTTTGCTGAAAAATTTGGACAAAAGCAATAAGACAAACCACAATGATATCATATTAGTACACAACCAAAGAGAAGAGTTTCTCATAGTTCAGCTCTCACCCTCAGCCATGACTTGAGTTATAATTTCATCTTTTTCCTTCAAAAGAGCAGCAGCATCACTTCTCTTGTTCTGCTCTCGTCGTAATGTATCCCTTTCCTTGGTTAGAGCATAAACCTATAATCATGCACATGAAGAAATGATATAAGAAAAATTACTAACAAAAGTGGAAGCCCAATAAAAAATTTGTCTTCTTGCTAAAGTAATTAGGACTACTTAGAGCTTAAAGTCAGGAAACCTCAGTCAATAGTAATACAACCAAATGGCTGGTACCACTGTACCAGTCCGTTATAAGATAATAAACTCTGACAAATCAAAAAACACCTAAACATTTATTAACCACGGCTACAATATCTAACTATGTCAAAAGAAAAGTTCAGAAGCAATAAACTCAAGGGGCGGTCAAAATAAAATAAAATAAATAATTAAAACAGCAAACCCTGGAGTTTAGTGCATAATAGAATAACCGTACCTTACGTTCAAGAGTTGCAACCCTTTGATGATATTCCTCACGCAAAGACTCAACTTCTGCATCATTGGATTTCCGCTGTCATAGATATTTACTGTTTTTAGATAAACTTAGCAGATATAACAGTAACACATCTTCAACTAAAAGGAGCCAGAAATTAGAAGTAAAAACAAAAATTCTCCCAAGGGAATAAGCCTCTTTGATCAAGCAAATAGAGAAAATAGATAACTGCAACTTGTGTGATAAAGTTACATTATATGCTAATATCAATATAGCTGACACAAACACTTCAACCCTAGAAAGACCTACAAAACTCAATCAAATCATGGTGAATAAGCAATAGATCTACAGTTCCAAAATATATATATAAGCAATAGATCTACAATTCCTACAGCAGAAATAATTTAGCAAGGGTTGCTGACATGCCCATTCAAAAATATATAATATATCTGATTCTTGGCAAAGTTCACACTTAATACTCGTATTTTACCGACTTGTCACTATGTCATGAAAAAACATGGTACAGCCAAATTTCTTTACCACTCTCATCAATAGACTTTTCGTGTTAAATTTTAATAAATAGATCGTTGTTCATATAGAAAAAATGATGACCAGGAGATATGAACAGAGTTGTGCTGAAAATCTTTTTAAGCAATTAATTACTACATGGTAAATTACAGGACGAAGAGCTAGTAAGGTTATTCTCTATGAATCTGCTTTTCCTCAAGCCTCTTAATTCAGTTACTTTTCACAAAATAAACTCCAAATGTCGGCGGCCCAAAGCCCCCTATTCTCCACTTCATGTAAGCCAGTTCATATATGTAGCAGATCATATGCAACAACAAAGAATACTCGGTTTCACAGTTATCCTTACAAATTTAACACGTCAAGATAAAGAGCTCTGTCTATGGAGTATGGATTAATAGGCCATCAAATTCCACAAACAAGCATTCATCTAAAGCTTATAAGTTAAATAAGAAAATGATAACTGAATACTAACAAGCTGATTCAACATAAGAATCTCAGCACAAATTCTGTGTCAGATAATTTTAAACTTGACAGCTCATATATTCTAACAGATAAGAGTTAATCCTAGATTCTTTTCTTTGACATCCAATGAACAACCAAAGAAACAAAAAATCAATTCACCAAATGCAGATTACTGATGCAGTGATGCAAGGTATTAATGTGGCTATGTGACATATGCTACAGATAGAGAACAAGTAAAGCCAACGAGGCAGGCCAAGAGTCGGCCACTTACTAAACCAAAAGATGAAATTCACATTTATGTTCCTTTGGAGACTAATTTCACTTCTAAGAGCACCTAACTGTGGGAAAGGACAATATCGATCCTGTTAATTCCTAAAGCACATCAGTTAGATCCTGTTAATTCCTATTACTGTAAGTATCGATCTCCAAATACCAACACATATATGAAATCTCATCTCTCCACTATGCTAGGTTATCAAGTTCCCTGATAGTCCTCTCAAGCCTCTATATACACCACATCAAACCAAAGCACGAGCAAGTGACAAAGGCCGAGCAAGCCTAAATAGACCAGGGGGAACCTCGTCTATCTTTTCGAATATCTTTTTCAATTTAGGATGTATCATGGGGAGTAAGTTCTCCTTAAAGTAACTAGTCTTTTTGAAATACACCAGGCAACAAAAACCTAGAAGGATGCATTGAAGGTTCTTTCCCTACGAATCCCCAATAAGGAAGAAAAAATAAAAAACCAGCCAATGAAGAAACCTAGAAGAGAGCTACTTGGCGTTTGTTTAACTGAGGGAGAGTAATAAAGGTAGAAATGAAAATGAAGCCTTGGAATGTCAATGGAACAAAAATTAAGTAAACAAAATATGAAAATAGTAGCATTTTCCATCTCTCTGACAAAATAAATGAAACGTATTTCAGAACTTTATTTTCAGTTTTCTTCTCCTAGACCCCAAAACTTAATTTAGAGTTTTCTTTTTCAGATCCCAGAGCTGCTCTTGGGTACAGCAAACAGAGGAATATATGAGCGAAAAGGAGCAGTAACATAGTTAGAAGCTCACCCTTAAATCTTCCAAGACAGATTTTAACTGTTCATTTTCACCCATTAACCTCGCAATTTCATCGGCTTTAGTCTGGAAAACAGTAAAATGAGAATCTGGTTAGTTTATAATCAGTTTATAAGACTATGAACAATTATAGTGTCCAACCCTCTTCACAAGATGACAGATATAAGACATACTTGAGCCTGTCGAGCAGCTCCCTGCAATGCAGCTTCCATCATTTTCATGTCCTTCTTCACCTTTTCTAGCTCAAGGACAGCATCAGCAGAGTCAGACACATTGGCCACTGAGACAGGTCTATCAACCTTAGCATTTTCATCTTCTTTGAATTGCTTTGACTCTTCAATAGTTGTATCATGTGAATCACTTTCCTCAGTAGCTTGACCAGAAACAATTCCCTGGATTGCATTACTTGGAAGTTCAGCAGATGCGCTATCATTGACTGATTCAGTAGGACTTTCAGATTCAGCAATGCCAATACTATCATCAGTTTGCAAGTGCTCAATCAGATTTCCAGTATCAATTGACACTTCCTCTTGTTTAGGGATATCTCTGTCCACAGCGAGCTCTTGCCCGCTTTCTTTTGTCTCTACACCATCACTAGCTTCCCTAGTAATTACATTATCAATAGGTAGTTGTTGCACTTGATCAGCTAGATTACTTTCTGCTAATTCTGAATGTTCTGGGGATACCCCCTCAGCTACCCCTTCCTCATCAAGCTGTTTATTAGAATTTGTTATCCCAGCATCCTGGATTGTTTGTTTAGGTGAGGTAGCAGGCTCCTGTGCATCAGCTTTGACTTCATCAGAATCCTTTGCCAAAGTGACCACCTCATCTACAGCTTCAGATGCTACATTATCTCTTTGCTCTTTCACTTCCCCCTCTTCATCAGCAGGAAGCACTGACTCTGCAGCAGGCTTAACATCTGTATCAGGTACATCATCTTTCTTCTCCTCAACTATAGAGGGATCCTGAGTGCTTTCTGAAATCTCTGGAAAACCATCTTTACTCTCTCCACTTGCCTCGTCATGCGAAACTTCACTGTCATCAGCCTCATCTGCATTTTCCTCTCCTCTATGACCCATAAATGCCATAACAGGATTGAATAATGCAGTTCTATTGCTAGAAGAAGATTGTTCTCCAGAAACTAATACAAATAGTTAGCAAAAGAAGCATCAGCTGAGAACATCCCACTCTTGCTATAACACAATCATTTATGCACTGATAATCAATGACTCAATGTGCAGGCTGAAAGACAAGTTTTAAATTTTAACACGTACATATCGTTTTTTGTTTTTTTTTTTTTTAGTGAAAAAGAAAACTAAAACAAACTGTAAAAGAAAAGACGCAGACAAAAAGCGAACCAAAACAAAACAGAACAGCAAAGACAGAAAACTAGCAGATTACTAAATCACACATCCAGCTGTTCCGCCTTCATGGCTAGAAAGAGTTTTCAGGCCCCATACGTGATCTAGTACTTCCCCCAAGTCCTCCAATAAAACAGCTCGAAGGTCCTCCAGGACTGCTCCAAAAACAGGTGGGATATTAACGTAGATCATGGAGAGCTTTGCACTGGCAAATGATATCAGTATAAGGAGAGTTGAGAGGAATAGGCTCCACTAACAAGGGGGCAACTATCTCCGAGTCAACCGTGAGTTAGACTCTATGTGTTATGGTGACCTCCATTCCAAGCCATAATAAGACCTCGAAGCATTCCAAGCAGTTCAACTTTCGTACATGAACATATCCCACACTTTATAGCAAACATTTCGAATAGCTCTTCTATATTTCCAATAACACACCTTGCCCCTGCAGAACCTGGGTTTCCCTTTGTAGCCCCATTGGTATTCAACCATACCTGTCCTTTCGTGGATGTATATATCCACTTATCATATTGCCTCTTTCTAATGCTTTTCAAATGTCTCCAATTCTAGTCATAATAAAGCCGCCTGATATAGGGTAGACTTACCCCTCTCTCAATACATCTTTCATTTCTCCACTTCCATAGCCACCAACATGTTACATATTGTATTGTTAAAATATAGGAAATTCTGTTCTTTTTTTTTACTGGTCGGAGGCGGGATTACATTGGATTTAGGGATGATGGCTCAAACAACCACCACCTCCACTACTTCCATGTACTTTACCCACATCAAGATATAGATCTAAAAAAATCCTAAGGGCAAGGATCAAGAAACTGAAAACCACTATTCTACAATTATTAAATCGAACGACTTAGAGATCAAGCCTTCTCTTTACACTTTATAGATACAAAAGAAATGAGTAAAATTAAAATCAATTGTCAAGTGCTCCTATTGAAAAACAGAATGAAAATGAATTAGAGACATAGCAGATGCTTTCATCACTGTCTAAAACTACTACAGTATCAGAAATCAAATTGACTATAGGTTTTGAGTCGTAGTTCATGCTTTCATATAATCATAGCATCTAATAAATTATAACACATTGTACAAGTGCCGCCTACATAATGCCCCTTCCATCTGGCTCAGACAAATCCCATGTATAATGTCAACAATTCTTCTGTTCCAAACACACTCCCTAACTCAAAATCTCCCTTCATAAAGCAGCAATAATAGTTTCTCACTAAACCAATCGAACAACGAGCTGAAGACAAACCGTGTTCAACAGCTTAATCGGTCTGATCCCACTATTCCCAGGATTCACATACCTTTTCTGATCTACTCCACATTCTACCAATTATCAATTCCATAACAAAGCATCTAATTACCACACAATTCCCACTAGAATTCAAGTATTCAACAAGAAACAATAATACTACATTACTACATCCAAATCAAATTCAAATTCAAAATACAAAATTCGAAATTATAATAAAAGTGAAATACCTTCATCGCCAGACTGAGGCTTATCTTCCAAACCAAGAGCACTATCAAAATTCTTCTCAATATTCTTGACACTCTCTTGAAGCTTATTCACAGCTCCAGAAAAATCCAAGTTTCCCAACGACACACTTTTCCCCCACCAATCCATCTTCCTAACTTCGATTCGATCACAAAATTCGACAATTTAACATCAAATTCATCACAAAACCCTAAAATCACAGCAAAATCCCAACAATCAAACATTATTTAACAATTAAATTATGCAAATGTGCAAATTAATTAATAAAATACAGAAACAAAAATGAATAAATTAAGAGTGTGATTGAGAACCTGGAAATAATTGAGATCTAGGAAATCGGCAATAATGTTGCGGAAGATCGGGAGGAGAGAGAAAGAAGAAAGGTGAGAGCTCAGGTGTGAAGTCTGGAATATACAACCATGATCAGATTGAGAAGGAAGATGATACTATAATTAACACTCTGGAAATACTTTTGATTTTGGTGGATCCAACCCAATTTTTGACACTCGTACTTTACGCAGCAAAATTTGTTCGAAATTTTGTTAAATCAAAATACAGTAATTGATTTTTTTTTTTTCTTTTTAATTTTTTTTTTAAAAATTATACCCATTAAAAACTAAAAACTTGTTTAGCGGTTTTTTGTGCGGCGGGTCACCATGTGACCTCTTATAAAAGACTATAAAAATCTATAACATTGATCGAGAAACTCCGACCCTATAATACGGATCGAGTTACCCCTAAAACACGGATCGATTAACCTCTATAACACTGACGAAGTAACCCCTTGTAACACAAATCGAGTAACCCCTATAACACTAACAAAGTAACCTACAAGGTAGCCGGCCACACGGTATGAGCAACCATAAGAATTTGTGAAACTAGTTTGTGCTCATGTTATACACAAGTTATCTAAATTCTCTATTTTAGATAACTCACGTTCTATTTTGTTTATTGATATTGTTGATGGAATATGAATATATGATTGAGCATACGGATTAGTATACATTTTATTAGATTAGGTGGGGGGATTTAAGTGGATATCCATTAGTATTTCGATTGTGCTTAGTAAGTTTTGATTTAGGTTGAGGGATATGGTTTTGGAAAACTCTCACTAATCTTTTTTGCTTTTATAATGTGGATTTTACTTGCAATTATGATGGTGAAAGTGTATGCACAGTGTTCGTTGTGAATCCGTTGAACACTGAATCTAAAACCAAATAACATGAAAACTAACTACAATGAACATACATAATAGAATAATAGTTGTCCTCAAAAAAAAAAAAAATAGAATAATAGCTATAGCAAAAATGATGTTATGTTATTGGAATTTATATTCTTTTGTTTTAGTCTTCATGATCATTGGCTTTATGCATACTTGATTTTTATCGAATGCACTGTATACGATATACAGATGCCACCATCTAATAATGAATTTTTTTAAAATTGAATTACTATTGGTTTAGCATTTAATGAGATACATGTTAATTTAGTTTGAAATGATAAAGGGAAATTTTCTTCCGTATAATTGTAATAATGAATTTTATTTAAAAAAATGTAACTTTTTTTAACACTACTTCAAATGACATGTAGTGCAACTTGTCATCTTTGTCACAACTCACAAGTAGGTTGTGGTAATTAGCCTAATGGCCTTCTTCACTTCTTGTACACCTCGCATCATATGTACGACATTACTTGCAATAATTCATAACAAACAAAAGTACTCGATAACAACCATGCATCATGTTCTTTTAGCGATATATCATAACAGTACATACACAATACAGTAATGAACCTTAGCTTGCCTATAATAACTCGTCTAACTTGGTGTCGTTTCTCTTTAATTTAAACAATAAATAAAGTTAATTATAATTGTTATACTTCATATATATGTTCAATTTCCTTTAATGATTGTAGTTCATGACTATCTTTCACATTAGTCAATGTATTGTTGGTCAAAAGATAAAATTGATTAGACACACATCTTAAAATACAAAATAATATGACATATAGTTTTGAGGTCATCATTTGATGAATCCCTTAATTAATGAGATCGTAATAAGTCAATTGGGAAAAAAAAGAATAGAGCGACAAGTATATTTTATTAATTTTTTTTTTTGGGTTGTTAATTTAAACTTTGAAATTTGCCGACAAATTGGTGGCATGGCATTAGAGTATTAGACATCTCGCTCTTGATGTGGTACAGTGGTAGTGAGTGTTTTGCATGACCATTTGATTAAATATAGATTTAGAGCACTAATTAATTTTGTTACCCAAAACTCCAAAAGGTGTTTTGTATAATTGCATTTACTAGGCACCTATTAACAATCAGCTCTCGTAGCTCAGTTGGTTAGAGCACCCGTTTAGTAAGCGGGAGGTCTTGAGTTCGACTCTCAACGAGAGCATATTGAGTTTCTAATATTTTTGTTGTGGCATTTCTGCTGTACGATAAGAGTCGCACAATTATATACTTTTTTTTTTCCCTATATACATAGCATTGTTTTAATTAGGTGATTTTTTTCAACACAAATATACTACCTCCGGTTCAATTTAGTTGCAACTATTTCCTTTTTGGGCCGGTCCACATTACTTGCAACTTTCCCATTTCTTTCCTTTTTTAGTAACTTTTTAGTGATGAAATTACCATTTTACCCTTACTTTTTTTTAAAACACCCTAATTACAAAACTAATTTTATCTAATTTGCTTTAACCCCAACATTAATTAAGTAACCTATTTTCACCAAAATCAACCCCTTAGCCACCAAAACCAATTCCAGCCACCTCCATCTTCCTCCTCAATCTTCATCACCATAATTCATCAAATTTCTACATCTTCTTCCTCATCCCCATTTTTTTTCTCTCTCCTCCTTCAACCATTCCTATTATTTTTCCAGATCTGTGGGTTTGTGGGTTCGTGGGTTTATGGGTTTGGTGGTAGGTGGGAGGTTACTGCGGCTCGTCGGTGAGTTTCGGTGTTGGTTGTTTCGGCAGTTGGTGCGTTCGGCTGTGGTGGTTTCAGTGTTGGTTGTTTTGGGGTTGGTTGTTTCGTGGTTGGTGGTTTCGTGTTGGTTGTTTCGTGGTTGGTGGTTTTGGTGTTGGTGGTTTCGGGGTTGGTTGTTTTGGCAGTGCTGTGTTCGGCTGTGGTGATTTGGTGGTGGCTGGGTTCGTCGGTGCTTGGGTGGCTGGGTTCGGTGGTAGGTGGTGGTGTTGGCCTGGTGGGTGGTTTCTGTGTAGCTAGGTGGTGTCGGTGGTGGTGGTTTTTTTTTTAAATTGGGTTGAATTTGTTTTTTTTTTTTTTAATTACTTGGATTAATACTTAAGTGTATACCCTTATCTTTCAATAAATATGATTAGGAAAATTTGCCTCGACCTCCGCAATCACCCCCAAAGTGGCAATTAAATTGGACCGGAGGTAGTATATTGATCTATCGTCTAAAATTCTTCATGTATCGTTTAAGGAAATATTTACAAGTGGAGAAATAAAATATTATTTTCAACAAATCATATACTACATAGTAAACTCCCTTAAAAATGAAAATTGATAATCGTTGGTTAAACAAATATATATTACTTGCAAGTTTTTTAAATTTAAAATTCAATATGATAGAAATAAAATTATTCTCAAAACATATTATGCCTAAAATTAAATAATTATAACTAATTATAATAGTAATACACTAAAATTATAACTAATCTAAAACTCAAACTGCATTAAGTATAATCAATAATAGTAATTAGTAATACACTAAAATTAAATTCGTTACCTTAAAATATATATAATGATCCTAGACCATTACATGGACTAATAACGATTAACGAATTAGTAGTAGATCAAAACCTTGCTCAACACCTCAACCTTGTATTATGCCTTAATCCAGTAAAGGATTATAAACCGTGCCCATGAAAAGTATTTTGCCAAAGTGATCTTCCCTAATCATGAACATGAAAGGATGATCAACAATGAAATCCAAGGATGATGGCGGAGCACACCCGGTTGCAAATCGTTTCCTGGTGAAGCACGCTGCCTCCGTACCTGTTTCATTAGTTTCGATACGACAACTTTGAACAATATCCGAAACAAAGATCAAATCACTTAATTCTGATGGGAGATCAACAATCTTAGTAAGCTCCCCGGGATACTCAAAGGGTAGTGTTAGCCCTAATTCTTTCATTACACTCGAAAGCTCAATTGAGCTTTCGAATTTAAACTTTGGGAGTAAAACGTTCCCTATATTGATGTTGGTGAGCTTGATTTGTTCATTATCAAACATGTTGTTGCTCAACTTGATGTTCTCCATAAGTTTAGGGAGACCACACGTGTTAGTCTGGTAAAAATATGTACATAGAGAACCTTCTTTTATCGTTTTTGTCACCCAAATATGGCATCTTGAGAACCTTGCAACCCTTATAGGAGCCGTACTCATACATGCAATTCGACTTTTTCATCAAGGGAACTTGCACGGTGTCTCCGTTAAGGAGATGAAATCGACGATTTTGTGTCATGGATGAATCAAAAGTCGTAGCCCATTTTCCTTTGAAATATAATGCATTGGCTAGAAACATTACAATGTCTTGGTTGAAAGTGTGATTCGAAGATAACACTTTTGGAATGAACCCATTCGTTTGTTCGTTAATCCAGGAGTTGACATCCTTCACTACTTCATAAGGCTTCACAAGGAATAAATAAACATACAGTCATATATACATCATAATTAATGAGAAAATTATCCAAATTGGGATCTTTAAATACGTAGCAGTTATGTACATAACTACATACATACACTTAATTTGCTCGGCTAAAATTATGATTAAATTTCCTAATACGCCATGATTTAATAGAGAAAAAAACAAGTTATACATGCAACTACTATATCACAAAGGATCGTATAATATAATTATGTGCAGTGACTAATTATGTAATGAAGTATGTATTTTTCAAACTCTCTAGCTTGAAACCTTGGTCTACATTGAAAAACATAGAAAAGTTAACTAAGGGTTTGTTCTGATTGACTGAACTGAGCTGAACTTATTGAGCTGAACTGAACTGAATTGAATAAATTAAGAACTGAACTGAACTGAAAATAATAGACCCTAAAAAGGAATAATTATTGATTTTAGAACCAAACTAATCACTACTCCGTAATTGTTTCTAAAATAAAGTTCTTCCTATTTAATGGATGATAAATTGTTTGATAAGAAAAGTTTAAACATAATTGAAATAGCTTTTTAAAGATGCAAAGATAGTAATATATTATCTAATATTTTTTGGTTAATCAAACTGACTTTTAGTTTTGAATCCTAGCTAATATATGTAAATGCAATTAATATGAAAACAAGGGTGTAGGTTTATACCTTGGCTTGGAAATCCACTACTTTCGGTTGCACTTCGAAAATTCTTAGAAGAAACTCTTTGTACGAACTATTAAGAGAAAATTTCCTATCCAACCATACTCCATTTGCATAAGCAATTATCGGTCCACCACCACTAACGCCGTTGGATTTAACAACAGACGCCGATTTAGAGGCCATAGCAATGACTTCTTCCATGTTATTATAGCCGAGGAGGCCAAGTAGTTTCTCCAAGGTGTTGCCTTTCGCACCGGCAACTAAGGCGTTGAGGGTGGTGCTAATGGAGAAAGGAGAGCAAATCATGTTTTTGTTAACTGATGATGAGTTATGATTCAGAGCTTTTTTTGCCACTTCTAAACTGAAATCCATGTTATTTTTCGTAATGCTGTTTGTCACCATGCCTTTGTCTTCTTGGCTTTGTGCTAAGGTGCCAAATCTCTAGCAAAAGCAACGTACAATTATAATATTTTGCTCAAGTCATATTAATCATAATATTATGCTCGAGCCCTTTCCCTAAATAATGTTGGGAAATTATCTAATTCCCAAATTACAGCTAGTCTTTTTTTAATTCCCACCATACTGTCCACGTCACCGGTTCAGTGGGAATTTTTTTAAAAAACGGGTTTATTAGAAAACCGCTACTTCAAGTAGCGGTGTGCTACTGAAAACTGCTACTTCAAGTAACGGTTTACATATTAGAAACCGCTACTTGAAGTAGCGGTTTGTATTTACTAATTACTGATTTGCAGATATTTTGTTTTTAAAGAAAACTTACAAAACAAACTCATAAATCATAAACCGCTACTTCAAGTAGCGGTGTTTTGAGGAAATCCGCTACTTGAAGTAGCGGTTTACAAAATTAAAACCGCTACTTGAAGTAGCGGTTTGTTTGTTGCTGGACCGAGAAAAAAAAAATCGGTTTGTTTTCCTTAGCTGACGTGGACGGTATAATGGGAATTAAAAAAAGAGTAGCTGTAATTTGGGAATTAGATAATTTCCCAACATTATTTAGGGAAAGGAAAAAAAAATTACATCTTCATAAAGAAGAAATTAAACTTTTGACTCGGGTTACATTTATAAAAAAAAAAAGAAAAAAAGAAACTATGTTAGAGTTACTTTTTTAATTATTTTTTGTTATAAAAACGGGACGAGGTTATATTAAATCAATATCCGCCAAAGTCGTAAGGCTTTGGGAAAAAGGACCCATACAAACATACTCATAGCCCCCTAAAATCCGACCTAGCTAATAATTAAGTGAGCTAGGGTGTTACCCGCCCGTTTTACATGAGAACACTTGCAGAAATCAAAAGACAAAGAGAGAGCACCAATATCTTCTAGCAAAAGGAAGAAAGGAGCGTATCATGTACCTTTAGTCGTCTTAATGCGTAGACAACCGAAATAGCATCACTCTCCAACTAAACCTTCGTGTATACTATATATATTTTCTTAAAAATTAAGATGATATTAGACAATAAAATCATAGTCATTATATTAAATCAAATCCCAACCATTTATTTTATACGGACTAATATGAATCTTTTATATAATAGGGTCAATTTTGGGACACATAACTCTGTCCGTTTCTCAGTAAAAAAAAAAAAAAAAACCTTGAATTGTTCGTTTTCTTTGGAATATATTTAAAAATCATTATGTATATTCATCTCTTATGAAGAAAAATGGAGTTAGGGCTTGTTCACATTTACTTAATTTCAGCTTAGTTCAGTTCAACTCTAATCAGTTCAGTTCAGTTCAACTCCAATCAGTTCAGTTCAGCTCACATCCTAATTTCCCTCTCTCATAAAGTATTTATTTCAGCTCAGTTCAGTTCAGCTCCAATCAGTTCAGTTCAGTTCAACTCAATTCAGTAAATGTGAACAGGCCCTTAGTGTTACACAAATTGATTGATTCGGAAATCAGATAATAGCTTCCTAGTAAAGCTTGGGGAATCGTAATTAATATCTTAGCCTTACTATTAATTACTTAATCAGATATTAAAAACTTTAATTGGAAATGGAGTTAGGGCTTGTTCATATTTAAGTAAGGCTAAGATATTAAAAAAAACCTACTCTGCAAAAGAAACTGACAAAATGTTGTGGCCTTCTTATTTTTTTTTTAAAAAATAAAAGTAATCTATATTAACGGTTAATATTAGTCAACATAAATGAACGATCGTGTTCAAATTTAATAGGATGGATACAATTATATTGGAAGCCTAGTAAAAACAAGAAAATAACGGAATAAAAAAAAAGAGGTTGAGTACAAGAACCCTACATTATTAGGGTTCATAATACATATTAAAGCAAAAACAACATATTTAGTTTCTTCTCAATGAAACATTAACATAGAAAAATACTATGTGTAGAATAGTGTAATTCTCCTTCGCTGGAGTGTTTCTCATTAATCAATATATATAGGTATTTACAACCTAATTATGAGAGGCTAATTACACACTGTAACACCCCCAAATCTCCCTCTACGTAAATACTATGTTTATACGTATACAAATACCGTAGAGATAGACTTGGGCGTATTACCGCCACGTGAAAACGTAAGGCTTATTTAATTACTCAAACTGCAGCGGAAAAATTACTAACTTTTATTAATAATATGAATAATTATAATAACTGTTTCAAAATAAGCTAATAAAAAACTTGTCCATACATAAATAAAATTAATTCCTATCTATGTGATCCCAATCCCGACTCTAGCATGCGTACGAACAACTTCACACCTGAAATCAAGACTGCTTACCAAAATGGTAAACAGGGCGAACCAAAACAAAAAGGAAAACAGATTAGCAAAAACACTAAGTACGTATAAATGCAAGGCATGTAAATACTTTTATTAGACAAACTTGCTTTCGAAATAACCATCTAAATTTAAAACCTGTCACGAGTCACTTTCCAAAATAAAACTTTCCAAAAATAATTAAACCTTCCAAGGGTAGTAATATTCATCAATAAAAACTTTCCAAACCAATAGATTTCCAATTTATAAACTTCTCAATTTTTGATATATTTCTAAACCAATTTTCCTCACCTAAGTGTGCACACCCCCCAAGCAAGTTATACTATACTCGAGGAAAGACCAGATCATACAAAGCTCATGGTCTTACTTAACCAGCCCCGGGTAGAGGGACAATTAAAATATCAAATACTCAGGCTCATAATGAGCTACAAATTAATTAAACCAAGTGATTTATAAATCAAACAACTTTTATTAAAACAATCAACATTTAGAGATCAAACCTTCAAATCATAAAATTATATACTTTAACTTGTCATGAAAATTGTTAACTTAAATACTCATACGCAACATTTATTCAAACAATCATTAAAACAAACGTTATACAAAACACGCATTCAAAATTGTATCAAGGACCTTGCCACCTATACATACCTTGATCATGAGAACAAAAAAAAGGTACGACTACTAAACTTGACCACGATCGGGAGACTCCTCCTACACAAATAAAATAACCTTAATTAATATAAGGTTAACAAAATAACACAAAACCAAAAACACCATTCTATTGTGCATGAACTACCTAAATATTAACCTTTATCAAAATAGTGCTATTAGTATAGTTGGGTGGTCGTTGGTGGCGGATGAGGTGGTTGTTCGGTGGCAACAACTTGGTTATGGGTTGCAGAGTTTATTTAAGCTAGATAGAGTAAGAAAAAGGGGTGATGAGATATAGAGTAGAGAAGAGGATTTCTAATTTTTGGTGTGAGGAATTTGTGAAGTGTTGAGGGTCTATTTATAGTGTTTAAGGGGTAGTAAGATAGAGTTAAATGAAGTTTGAGATTAACATGGGAACATGATAAATGTAAGTTTGTTAAATGAATATGAGTGAAACTTAGTCTAGGTTAATTCATGTGGGAAAATACAATGGAAAGGATTAGGGATGGAAGTAAGATAAATGCTAATATGGTTAAGAAAGATAAATTAAGAGATTTAAGTAAAAAAAAAAATGGTAAATTAAGAGATTTTAAAAAAAATAATAATGATGAGTATGGCTTCTTCATAACTCACGGCCCTTCTTTTTTTTTTTTTTTTTTTTTTACATATATATATATAACGAAAATCATTCTTAAATAAATAAAATAATTAGATTTGATAATTAAATCAAGTTAAAATATATAGATAATATCAAAACTAAGATTTGTTGTAATTCATGAGATAATAATTAAGCTAAAGTTGTTAAGTATTATTAAGATAAAATCCGGAAAATAAAATTAAAACGGCGTACAACGTTAATTAATAAAAATACGGACCGACCAAGATCATAATTTAGAAATTTTAATTATTTCAATTAATTAAAGAAATTACTAATTAAGAAAATATTTTCAAAAATTAGGGGTATTACACACACGATATCTCTTTACAAAATATTAACAAGATAATATATAAATCTATTATCTATCACACCCCCGCAGTGAAGCGGGAGGAGGACGGACGCTGAGACTGTATCTGAAATCCAAGAACAGTTGGCGAGGTAATCCTTTGGTGAAAATATCTGCGTACTGATAAGAGGACGGAACATGTAAAACCTTGATCTCTCCAAGGGCGACCTTGTCGCGTACAAAATGAATGTCCATCTCAATGTGCTTGGTACGTTGGTGTTGTACCGGATTGGAAGATAAGTAGACGGCAGAAATATTATCACAATAAACCAAGGATGCCTGTCGAATGGGGCAATGTAACTCGAGAAGTAGATTCCGGAGCCAACATAATTCAGAAACAACATTAGCAACACCTCTATATTCTGCTTCGGCACTTGATTTGGACAATGTAGCCTGTCGTTTTGCGGACCAAGAGACCAGATTATCACCCAAATAAACACAATACCCAGAAGTGGAACGTCGCGTGTCCGGGCACCCGCCCCAATCGGCATCTGTGTAAGAAATAAGTCTCGTAGGAGCAGAACGATATAAATGTAGTCCATGATCAGAAGTGCATTTGATATATCGTATAATACGCTTAAGAGCGTTAAAGTGAGGTTCCCTAGGAGCATGCATGAACAAACAAACCTGCTGAACAGCATAAGCAATATCGGGTCTGGTGAATGTGAGGTACTGAAGCGCATCTGCAAGGCTCCTGTAGAGGGAGGGATCCTGCACTGGCTCACCATCGTGAGCACTGAGCTTTGACTTAGTGTTGACCGGTGTAACAACTGGTTTGCAATTGTCCATCTTAGCCCTGTGAATAATTTCCTCTGCATATTTACTCTGACAAGGAATCATGGAGTCCTTTGTACGTGTGACAGAAATTCCCAAAAAAAACTCAACTTCCCTAAATAAGTCATGGAGAATTCGGACTTGAGTAGAGCAATGATATCACTCTTGAGTTGTTCTGAGGAAGCTATAAGTGCAATGTCATCAACATAGAGCAAGAGATATGCAACATTAGCACCATGTCGCCAAATAGAGAGGGAATTATCACTTTTACTGCATACAAAGCCAATCTGCATCAGAAAATTAGCGAACTGTTGGTACCAAGCCCTCGGGGCTTGTTTAAGACCATAGAGCGATCTATTGAGCCGAAAAACATAAGTTGGAGCCTTGGGATCTACAAATCCCGGTGGTTGATGCATAAATACTGTTTCTTTTAAATCACCATGAAGAAACGCATTTTTGACATCTAACTGATGAATAGGCCAGTCCCTACCCAAAGCAATACTCAAAACAGTACGAATAGTCGCCGGTTTCACCACTAGACTAAAAGTCTCATCACAATCCACACCAACCTGTTGAGACTTGCCATTCACAACAAGTCTTGCTTTGTGTCTCTCCAAGTCACCATTTTCCCTGTATTTTTGTTTATATAACCACATACAACGAATAACATTGGCCCCTTCCGGCCTTGGAACAAGATCCCAAGTATGCTGTTTAGTAAGAGCATTAAATTCCTCATTCATGGCGGTATTCCAATTATGGTCAAGCATGGCTAATTTCGGGTTTTCAGGAAGTGGGGAAATAGAGGGGACCGCAATATTAGCTTGATACTTGGGGTTTGGCTTAAAAATACCACTCATGGCACATGTTTGCATAGTGCGAGTGGGAGGAGTGTCATGCCTTGTGTGAGGAACTGGGCTCGGGTGTGGAAGGGAGCCGAACTGGATCATAGTGGGAGAGGAAGAGGGAGTATGTGGTGAATGGGGTGGGCTAGACAGGGAGGTCCGCAAGGGGGTTGCGGTTGGGCCTGAAATGCCGCAGCCCACCTGCGGACTGTTCTGGGTCAGCGTATGGTGAGTGGGAGAGGTATGAGATGGTGAGTTTGGAGGAGTAGTGAGTTGTGGGCCATTTGTGGGAAGTGGGCCTGCAATGGCGTGGGGTGGGAAATGCATGGGGTTAATGGCAGTGGGGTTATGATCAAGAAAATCATAATCAATTTCCCTAAACTTTTTAATGTTGGAGAAAGGGAAAATATCCTCAACGAAAGTCACATGCCTAGAAGTGATTAGTTTGTTGGTAGACAAATCAAAACACAAATATCCCCGATGATTAGAAGGAAACCCCAAAAACACACAAGGTGTGGACCTAGGAGCAAGTTTGTGCGGTGCAACGGCACTTAGATTTGGGTAACAAAGACAACCAAAAACACGAAGATGATCATATGTAGGGGCTCTACGATATAGAATTTCGGTTGGAGTTTTGTTATGTATGGTTGTGGAGGGAAGGATGTTGAGAATGTAGGCAACCATATTAACAGAATATACCCAAAAGGAAGGTGGAAGAGAGGCATGAAAGAGTATGGTTCGAGACATATTGTTAATAGTGCGAATAATTCTTTCGGCTTTGCCATTTTGGGAAGAAGTGTTTGGGCAAGAAAAACGAAAGACCATGCCATTATTAGCACAAAACTGGTGAAATGGAGAATTATCAAATTCGCGACCATTGTCACTTTGGAAAGATTTTATATCTCTTTCGAATTGAGTTTTAACATATGCTCGAAAATTAAGAAAGATATCATAGACTTGCGATTTATATTTCATAGGAAACACCCAAATAAAATGAGAGAAATCATCAAGCAATACAAGATAGTATTTATGACCCAATTTGCTAAGAATAGGAGATGTCCATAAATCCGCATGAATAATGTCAAACGGTGAAAAAGTGATAGAAGTAGAGGGCTTAAAAGGAAGTCGTACATGTTTTCCTAAAGGACAAGAATAGCAAAAATGAGAATTATTTCTCTTATTACATTTGATTAAATTGTTTTTCCTAAGAAAATCAAAAACAGGATCGCCTGGGTGTCCAAGTCTATGATGCCAAGTAGAAGGAGAAATAGCAGCTAGAGAAAGTTGACTATTGTCATATGTAGCGGAAGATGTTGAGAATGGATATAAGTCCCCACACTATTGCACCTCGCTAGAATTGTCCCCGAAAGAAGGTCCTTCACAGAAAAACCGAGAGGGTCAAACTCAATAGACACAGAATTATCACAAGCAAATTTTCTAACGGAAATTAAATTTTTAATTATGTTAGGCACATAAAGGACATGCTTGAGATGAAAAGGTGGGTTAGGTGAGGGGGTAGTGGAATTGCCATAGCCCAAAATTGGAATACGTTTGCCATCACCAACAACAATATATTGAGGAAAACTCAAATTAAACAATGTAGAAAAATTACCCGAATCACGAGTCATGTGGGAAGTAGCCCCCGTGTCCATGTACCATCCATTGTCCGGCGGTTGAAGGCTCATGGAACTATAAGCTTGACCCAAGTCCGTTGGAGACATGAGAGGACCATAACCGTGCTGACTTGGACTCGCATAATAGGCCTGCTGAGGAGGGCGACCCAAAATAGATGGAGCTAGGCCTCTGTGTTGCTGCTGTTGGGCCGTGGGAAATGGGCGGGGGGGGAAGCCCATTGCCCAGGCTGCTGCTCCCATGAAGGATTGGCTCCCCATTGATGGGCCTGCTGCCAATGTGGGCCGTTAGGTTGGGCCTGCCACTGCTGAGGCCCACCTGACTGAGCTTGCTGTTGTTGATTGTTGTTGTTATTTCGCCCACGACCTCTGCCCTTCCCACCCTTGCTGCTGCCACGGCCGCGGCCGCGACCACCCTTGCTGGTGGCGTGCTGCTGGTCTACCGGCGTCGTGGTGGTTCCGGAGGTGGTGGAAGTGGTCCCACCCGAATTTTGAGCAATAAGGGCGTGTTGCCCGTGTTCCTCTTGCTTATTTTTCCTTGTCTCCTCTAGAATAAACATGGAACGAGCCTTGTTGAAAGTAGGGGTAGGCTCGGTTTGGGAGATCAAAGCAGCGACGGTATCATATTTCCCTTCAGGAAGACCCGCAATCAAATAGAGAACCATCTTTCGATCGGAGACCGGGTTGTCGACGTTGCTCAATTGATCGGCAAGAAGTTTGAGATGCATACAATAATCTGACATGTTTGCAAATTGCTCTAGTTTGGTGGTACTAAACTGCTCCTCTAAATATACCTCCCTAGTGTGCTTATTGTCATGAAAAATTTCCTTGAGACGATTCCACAATTCAAGCGCCGTAGCACCCGGTTTCATGATAGTGTTAACAAGGTCTTTGGAAATTGAGGCATAAATCCAATTCTTCACGATAGCATCCAACCTTTTCCACGTAGCATCATCAGTGTCCGACGGACGAGAAACCTTGTCATCAATGTGATCGAGGAGATTGAAGGCACACGCTTGGATGTGGAAAAGCTCTGCCCAAGTGGTGTATTGAGCCTCTTGTTGATCAAGGGTGACAGACATGAGGTTTTTGATGTTAATTGGTTGCGGCATAGGCCGGGTGGAAGGTGTTTGAGGGAGGTGGAGGGGGAGGTGGGGGAGGAGTATCATCGCCGGCTATGGAGGTTGAGGGAGAAGGATAGCCGAAAGTGGTGGTGGACGGCTAGAAGGCCTTAGATCGTGTTTAGGGTTTGAGAAAAGAGAGAGAGAAGAGAAAACCCTGATTAGAATCTGATACCATGTAGAATAGTGTAATTCTCCTTCGTTGGAGTGTTTCTCATTAATCAATATATATAGGTATTTACAACCTAATTATGAGAGGCTAATTACACACGATATCTCTTTACAGAATATTAACAAGATAATATATAAATCTATTATCTATCACTATGCACCAATAATATCACCAACTGATGCACCAACTTTGCAATGGTACTAGTAAAATTAACTCCGATCAAAACGAACATGAAAGCTTTATATTGTATGAATAAAAAAAAAAAATCATTACTTCATATATAATACAATATAATAATCCAGGTTTAATGTTATTAAGGTATAATAACATCAAAATAGATTATAAAAAATACGAACTTTTTTACTCTAATTTGTTGTTTGAAAAACATTGAATAAAGAGATTAATGGTATGATGAGGAACTTACATGAACATTGTATGATTCATATTTTGAAATTCCTTTTCTTCTTGCGACAAATTTGGTTCGGGCAAACCCAAGACGACCATTTGATTTTGCGAGTTGCAATCTCAGCATCTTTGATTTTTTTTTAGCTCGTTTTTTAACTCTGCCCTAATCCTGAAAGGGCAAACCCTATTTTATACGAGTAGGTAGTTGAACAAAACGAATCAATTAAAAACATACCAGTTATAAAATAATATGCGTTGTCTTTAGGTTTTTTTTTTTTTTTTTTTTTTTTTTTTTTTTAAGCCAAAATATTTTAAAAGAATATTTGTATAATATGATAATATTTGGTCTACTAGTCTCTCCCGTACAATCCATCAAAATATTATACTAGATCTTTTATTTATCTTTGCCAAAAATCATTCACAACAAATCATGGACATACTTTAGATTTTTTTTTTTTTGGAAAAATTAACATAAATTGTTTTATAAGATCATTTTGATGACAAATATATAGGAAGTATATTTTGCATTCAAGTTGTTTATTAAATTCTGTTATAAAAAAAAAGTTGTTTATTAAATTATATCACGCATATACATATATCAAGAAAAAATATATGTGCATGTAAAAAAAATTGTTAAAAAACTAAAAATTAGATGGAAAGAATATAATTCAGAGAAACATTGAACCTTTTGTACTCCATAAGTCCATAGGTACGGAATATATTTTTTTTTATTGCCTAATATTTTAACCTAAGTCAATCAATTAATACTAAGGTTATTTTGACTTTTACCACCCGACAAAAATCAATTTTTTTTTTTTTTTTTTTTGAGGAAATCCAAAAATTGCTTTTACCATCTCCACAATCAAAAGTTTTAATTTACCACCTCATAAATAAATTAAAGTTAGATTTTACAACCACAACCTAACTCCAGTGACGAAAAATTGATGTGGGCCCTAGTATTTTACATTTCCATCCAAATTAAAAGGTAAAACCCCGGTTCTCCCCCCCCCCTCTCTCTCTCTCTCTCTCTCTTCATTTTCTCACCTTCCCTATTTTGCAATCAATTTCTCACCTTCCTCCATTAAATTGTCTAAAATTTAACCTCTCTCCTCTCAATTTGTTTTCTTCTCTCTATAAAGTAAAACCCTAACTTTGAATTTCATCACTATTGGGTGACACCACAAAATTTCCTGATGGTGATACACTTATGTAGGACATTTCCGGCTGCAATTGACAACCATCAGCATCAACCATTACTTCTAATTGAACACAATTATCATTCTTAAACCCTAATTACATTACCGAATTAATCGGGCCGGTCTTCGGGTCTCAAAATGTATTTTTTCGGCCTTCGGTCCGTTCCGGTCCAAAACTCTATAAAAATCGGTATTGGGCCAGGCCGATTTTTTTTTGTTTTAAAGAAAATATGCATGAAACCTTAAATAACAGTTAAAATTATTCTTAATAAGCTTAGAAAACTTTAAATTTATGAGGTTTTTTGTACTAAATATACAAAAAAAAACGATAAAGTGTAGACTTTCCTTTACTTTTTTTGAGTTTTCCATATAATTACTAAAAAAATTAGAATTCTTTTTTAACAAAATTCTTAAATTGGTCCAAAGCGGTTCGGTCCGGGTTTGATCCTATCTTAATCGGTCCGGTCTTCAGTTCTTAAAATTCTAATTTTAGGTCTAAGTCGGTCTGGGCCGGTATCGAACCGATGAACAGCCCTACTTACAATCAAACATAACAATTGGAACATAATTAAGAGAAGAATTGCGAAAGTATACATAATAATTCATGGTGTTTGCAAATGAACTGAATGAGTAACTTCTTCCAATTTCCTTCTTAACCACGTTAAACGAGCACAAATTTGGAACAATTGGATGCTAGGATTGTTAGGGTAGAGCAAATTTGAGGATTTTGGAACAAATTCGCATAAACAAAGCTGAATTCAGGGATTTTTGGACAAAAAGAGGGACCTGGGTTTTATATACAACATAATCGAGGAAAATTGGGGTAAAATTGAAAAAATAGCCCCGTCACTGGAGTTAGGTATGGTGGTAAAATCTAATTTTAATTTTTTTATGGGGTGGTAAAATAAAAAAAAATTTATTGTGAAGGTGGTAAAAGCAATTTTTGGATTTTTGTGAGATGGTAAAAGTCAAAATTTCCTAATACCAATAGTAAAGTTTCTCTAATTATATCAAGATTTTTCAGTCATCGACTTTGCAAGTTTCTCTAATAATATTTTCTGCTGGTGATATCTTTCATTTTGTCTACTAATTTAATAAGCAAGGATGCACGCTGCATTACTTGTTTAAGTTGTTTGTTCTAATATATGATACGGTAAACAGTAAACTGTTACATACTTGCATTCTACTTTGTAGCATTTTATGCAATAATCAATTATTAGCAGACCACAATTTGTACTAAAATAAACTCTTAATAATAAATAAAAACTAAAGTATTATTGCAACACAAACTATAATATGGCTAGTCCAAGAAGAGAATATAGGGTTCAAGCTTGCAATATTATCTTACTCTTGTAGATTGAGGATCAACCACTGTGCCAACGAAAAGTATAGCCCCTGAAAAATCTTCCCTAATAATAAACATGAATGGATGGTCCGCCACAAAGTTTATTGGTGGTGGTGGCGGAGTTAACCTTCGCGCTGCCTTTGTGGCTAGATGAACACGGGTGAAAGCCACGGCTTTGGTTCCTTCTTCATCAACTTCCACACGACATTTTTGAACCACATTTGTAACAAAAAGCCCTTGACTTTCAACCGGAAAGTCAACGAATCCCGTAAGATCCTTGTTATGCTTATCAAATGGCAATGTCAATCCTAACTCTTTCATAGGGTACGAGAGTTGAACTTGGGATTCAAAATTAAACTTCGGAATGGAGAGTTTGGCAATTGATGTACTCTCGAGCTTAATCCTGTCCCTAAACATGGCCGCGTCTATATTGATGTTTTGCATTAGATTTGGCAATCCGTCCTTTTGTTCAGGCAAGAAAATGTACATTGAAAAGCTCCTAGCTTTTTCACCCTTTTCGACTTCTTCTTCGTTGTATAGCATCCTTAAGACTTGACATCCCTCGAAAGTTCCATAGTCGAAGCTCTTATGAGTTTGTCCAATGAAGGGGACTTGAACTTTGTTTCCATTGAGCAAGTAAAAGTCTTCATCTTTAGTCTCTTCAGTCTTGAATCTGTTAACCCATGTTCCTTTGAAGTACAAGGCATTTAACAATAGCATCATGGTGTCTTTAGCAATCATGTTTTCCGAAATTATTTGTTTTATAAAGCCCTTTGATATTGATTCTGACCAAATATTCACTTCACTTACCATTTGCTTCACTTCATCCTTCAAAAAATGATAAATATGTTAAGGAATTTAATAATAGAATACATTATTGTTTAATAAGAGTATGTTTCTTCATAGCTCAGTTAATCAGAATAGGCCCTAAAAGCAAAATAAGGTTTAATTTGTATTTCTACAGATTACATAGATCAAGTTACCAAAAATGTTGCTAGATTAGCTCAACTATCAAGAAACATAAAGTTCAAAACAAGAAGGAAAAAAAAAAGAAAAAAAAAAATAAACTTGGAATATATTGAAGAAGATTTACAATACAGTGAAAAATTGCTCCATAAGGTCAGAATTAATTAAATTTTATCTAACTCAACTTTAAATTAGCAAAAATCTAGCTTTTACTCCGTATTAGAATATCAGAAGATACCATATATTTGACTTATTATTATGACTTATGGTTTATGAGTGAACTTGCTATATCTGAAACATTTTGTATATCATCTAGCTATCTATTTATGATACTCCGTATTATTTTTTCACGTTAAAAAAAATATCTTCTGTAATCTTTTTGATTTTCATATAATGAATTTATAATATTATGTTAGACTTTAATGCTCCAAATAAATGGTTCTATCAATCCATGGATATGTTCCACCACATTTTCTTTCTCGTAAGACCATCAGTAATTTAAAGACTTTGGTTCTTAGTAAAATTAAATACAATATAAATCTTCATACCTAATTAATGGTCCCAAAATATATTATACTTTTTGATACAGTACATTATTTTTATGGTTTATGGTTTTGAGTCTCTTCACATTTACTTAATTTCAGTTCAATTCAGCTCCGATCAGTTTAGTTCAGTAAATGTGAACAGGTCTTAGTCTCAATCTTTCTACAACATATATGACAATCAAATAAAGAAATAACATGGCTAACAAAAAAATATAACTTAAATTACACATTATTACCTTGTTATTGAAATCAACAGGCCAAGCTTCAGTTTGGAATTCAGTCCTTAAAACCTCTCGAAACGGAGGTTTTAAAGGGAACTTGTTATCAACCCACAATATATTAGCAAAAGAGATTTCAGGCGCATCATCACCCTTTGATTCCCTAAGCACATCGGCTAAACCCGACGCCATCTCATTAAATTCATTGACGTCGTTGCACCCAAGTAGCTCAAGCAATTGCTCTAGCGTCGGACCGTGGCATCCTAGGGCCAAGATGTTAAGCACGGCGTCGATTGAAAGCGGAGATAATACCATGTTTGTAGGACTATTGTTGTTTTCCGTAAGACTTTTTTGCAATACATGATTGGCTACTTTCAAGCTGAAGTTCATGATAGGGCGCCCACCCTCGGTGATCACCGAGTAGCGACGGTGTGTAGTGCACGGCTTTTTTTCTACTTGGATGCCTTGTGGAGCTTTGCCTCCAGTGCTGCGCTTACAATTTTTTGTTCTCGCCATTTTTGTATGAACAAAGACGGGTTCAACAAAAGAGAGAAAACTGAGTTTATGTAAAATGTAACGTATGAAAACTAAAAAACTGTTTTTATAGACGATTATTAGAGATAATAAAGACTCAAACCCTAAAATAATTCGTTAAAAGAAAATTTTGAAAATTTGCAGTGATCTCTAACATCAGGGCCAGGCCCATAGCCCGCATAATAATAATTTTTTTTTTCAAGGGAGCCCACATAATAAACTAATTATATATTTATACTCTCATTCTGTATGTATGTTTTGGGAGGTGTTTCGCGATGCGATTTGGATCATAAACCGCATCAAATCGTAAAATTACGATTTGCATGTAATTTTTTCAAACTGCACCTAATTGCATTTCTAAAAAAAGCCGCACTAAACAACAGGTGCGGTTAGGTTTGCGGTTTAACTATATTTAGAAAAAAACTATAATTATTCTTTTTAAAATAAAACTTTTATTTTATTTTATAATTATTAATTTATTTCGGCACAACGTTATTCGTGATACCCATGTTGATATTTGTTTTAAGCTACGTTGTGTCGATATGAATCTATCTATCTATTAACTAATACTAAAATACAACATGTTTACGTCATTTTTGACATATGTCAAGCTGTCATTAAAAAATTTCCCTCCAAAACAATATATGATGTCATCCTTAATTTTTTTTTATTTTATTTTGTTATTCTCCTTAACTTATTTTTTAGAAGTATGTTGTATAATTTTATTGGGAAAAACATGAATCATTAATGTAACATCTTGTATACTACTTTTAAAATTTTTAAATACCACTAACAAACAATAATTTTGTTTTTCTCAAATTTAATATTAATAATTTTGGCCTTAGTACTGCATTTTTCTTATGCACATTGTATTGTTTATTCCACATGAGTTGCCTCTTTTTTGTTTATTTATTTATTTTTTATAATGAGTTGCCTCATATTTATATTATATTTCTTTTTAAAAAAAAAATATTACTACTGTGCATTGCACGGGCACTAATCTAGTTTATAATTATAAAATAAAAATAAAAGTTTTCTTTTAAAAAGAATAATTATAATTTTTTCAAAATATGGTTAAATCACATCAAACATAATTAAACACTTAATATGAGACAGAAGGAGTATAATATATGCCGTACGTATACTTGTTGCTACCTTCCTTGGGAGGGGTGATGATAACACTAAGCACTTGAAGATCCTTACTCGCAACCGAGGGATTGAACTCAGAAGATACATAATCAACCATATCTTCGATTGAGGGCGCACAGAAGTGTTGAATAACCCTAAAAGGATCTTCACAATGAGTCAAAGCTGACTTCATCATTTGAGCTTCTTTGGAATTGGGGTCCATAGAAAAAGGCCGCAAGTATTCGGGAAAAGTGTTGGGAATTGAAAGGAACTTTGGCTTGGACTTAGGTATGACAATTGATGGATTGTGCCTGGTTTTAGTAGGTCTTCTTGGCCGATGAACATAGAGGTAAATATTTTGTTCTACCGTTGTGCTCCCGTAGTGTTAAGTTTGTTGTCTTTGCTTGGCATGCATGCTAATTACGTACTAATTATCTAACTAAACTTTTTTTTTTTCGTTCATTGAAATTTGAACTAGTATTATTTATCAACGTGGTATTATGATCACTTCATTTTTTTTTATTTAAAAAAAAATCATCACTTCATTTCTGTTAACAAAGAAGTAGATTAGTGGAGAAATTAATTAACTTTGTGTAATCTATATATCCTAATCAACAAAGTAAATAAACCCACTAATACATACATGTTTACTTATAATTAAATGTTCTTAATTTTCATACTAGTCTATGTATAGTAAGACTTAAGAGCATAACTAAGATGTAGAATAGTGGAGAAATTCACTTTTTATATTTTCATTCCTTAACATTAAACTTAATTAAATACATGGTAATTATAAAGAAAACATACACTTGGTTACTAATTACTCATAATTTTTGCTATATAACTTGATGTTCTTAAACTCTTCTTACCATAGTCCACTTTGATGCCGGGAACATGAGTAGTTCAATCAAAGGTATTACTTAGATCGGACTAATTGGTCCGGTCCACATTCAAAAAACCTTCTCATAGTTTACTTTGAAAATAAAATTAAAGTCCATTAGCTGGTTATATTATACAAAACATTGGAGTTATTAATCAAGCATCACTAAAATTTGGGACATTAGTCCTATACATTGAGTTAACTTTATTTAAATTTTGTTTATTTTATTTGATTACATACATTGACTAGGGGGTGTTACATGTTTACTTCCGAACAAGCATTAGTCGATTTTGCAGAGATTATAATCGATATAAAAAAAAAATATTAGATCAACATGCACCGGTTATAGTATAGCTTAGGTTGCTCCTAATCCGGAAGTAAGTAATTAGTTAGCCTTTGTTATTATTATTTGACTTATTAACATTTTGTTGTAGAATCTATTATAATATTATAAACATGATATTAATTATGTAATTTTCTATATACACAGTGTTAGCCGCATGATTTAGGCTCACATACCATCATATTACGGTTGGAGCACTAGCCTCCTCGGCTCCTATGTTTTATTTTGACATAAACATTCCATAGGAGAACAAATTTCTTTCGATAGTGAGTCATGATAATAAGGTATATTCAACCATTATTCTACTTAGTATTATGTAGTATTAAATTTATTTTGGTGGTTATGCTTGTCTTTATTTGAATGTTATACTTAATGTTCCAATAGTATAAGATATATACACATCATATATAATATATAATATATAATACATAATATAAGACATATAATATATAATATAATAAGAATTTATTTTTAAAATTTTAAACCATTATGAAAGTGTATTTAAATGAATAATTATAATAATTTAGAATAATTAGTTTATTTAAATTTGCTAAAGAATTACTCCATAGTTAACCTATTCTTTGAAAAACAAACTTTGCTATTTGCTCAATATATACGTGTAATAATAATAATATCATATACTACTAATTAAAAAAAGATTAGAAGTTCATCTATATATCATGTTTTTGAAATTATAGACTTGTAGCGAGTTCATTTTTCGGCTAATTGTGGTAAATAACACAATGTTCCAATCAAAACCTTTCAACTTAACAAATAGAAATGACTATTGCAATTTCAAATACCACATTCATTCCTCCACGCTTTCATTGAGTTAATATATATAATACAAAGATTTTTACAATTCTATAAACAAATTGTTCATTCTATCCCTTAGTTACAACATGACATACATGCAATTCAATGCATTCAACTCTCAAACATTTTGGAAGTAATACAATAATTTCAAATGGATTTATGGTCCAATTTAGTCATTTCGGGTAATTTTATCTTAATTTTACTTGAAATTATATTACATGTTTTTTTTTCTTTGACAAAATGTTCAATTTAATTAATAATTATTGCTCTAACTTAGAATTAACTAACTTATAGCCTTTTTTTCAATAGGGTATTAGAAGATACATCGAAATTTTAATTTGTAGTGGCTATAACAACAAAAAAAATGTATATTTAGCTTACGTGTAATTTTAAATTGATGATATATTTATAAGAAACAAGTGTTCTAGGCTTTTCAAGTGAGTGTTCCAATAGTATTTTTTTCATTTTTTTTTTAATCTGAGGGTCAAAATGCTTTTATTTAGAAAATGAACTGGATAATGATCCAAAGTGGTTGAAACACAAACAAAATAAGGAGATGAAGATACTTTTAAGTTGGATTAGAAATAGCTATTCTTAGTCTTATAGTCCCCTATTAGGCTTGTGTGGTTCAGTTGTCTTACTATTATTACTAGATTAGGTACCGTGCCATGCACGATTATTGACAAAAAAAAATTATGGACGTATATACTTATCAGTGATCATATATTGTAATATCTCGTTTTTAGTCATTAACTTTTGTCTATCTCAATTGTATCCTTGAAACGGATATTATGTTTTCCACATAAAAACTTATAGTAGAAGATGGTATTTTTTTAAAATATTTACAAAGATTATATTTTTTAAAAATATTTACAAAGATTATATTTTGCTAATCTATTTTCCATATTAATTAATTAATTGAATGTGAATATAAAAAAAAAAGGTAAATATCATTTCTATTTATATAGTAATTAAATTTTACAAATAATTTCCTTAAATAAATTTTCTATCAAATATTTTTTTAAAAAAAAAATACCAAGGACACACCGAAAACTGACATGTGTCATTAATGGTGTGTATTTTAGTATATTATTATTATTATTATTATTATTATTATTATTATTATTATTTAATCATTACTAACTATTTTCAAGAAGTATATACATGTCAAACTTTTACACCATTACAATACTCACCATATTCTCATCCAAAAATAAAAATAAAAATAAAACCCTCATTTATTTAAAACTTTTTGACATAGGGTACCATTTCATAGATTTCCTCTATTCTAATTAACAAATGAAGATGATTCTAATATGAGTATAAAAATTATAATAAGATTATAATAATATTGCAGTAAATAAAATTATAAAGTGGGAAGCTAAACGTGCCCTCATGTCTAACTAATGTCCGTAAAATAAACTAAAATTACAAATTTACCCTTTTAATACTCCTTACCTCTGGTTTCACAATCTACATAGCCGCGCTAATGACGAGCAAGGACAAACGGAAGTCGGTCGTCGGCGAAGAAATTTTTTTTTTATTACTATTTTCTAAATTCGCGGCAAACGCCTAGATTTTTCTCACATCCTAGGCTCAAACGCCTAGTTCGTGTGAACAACCGTGTGGTTGTACGAAAAATCCAGGCGTTTGAGGTGAAACGCCTAGTTTTTTTAGAATACCCTAGGCTGAAATGCCTAGTTTTTTCGAATAGCCTAGGATGTTTCAAAAAAACTAGGCGTTTTAACCTAAGGTATTCGAAAATTCTAGGCATTTTTTGGGTTTCTAATTTTTTTAAAAAAATTATCGCGACGTACCGATTCCGTACGATTCGACAAGCCTTTGGCGAGCGTCTAAGGTTGTGCTTCTGGTATTTCGTCGTTGTCCATAACATCTAACGAATTTGATTTTGCAAAATTTAAAAATTTTGTTTGATTTTGAAACTCACGGTGGTTGGGGTGGTTGTTCGATGAGCGTTAGTGGTCGTTGACCACTAGAGAGAACGGTAAAAAGTTTTGTGTACAGTAAAAGTGTGAAATTGGGGTGAAAGTAATTATTTTTAAAATCGTTATTATAAGGAAAAATACGTAATTTTATTTTATTTTGCGGGCGTTAAATAGATATTCGAGGACGATATTTAACATCCCATTATAAACAGTTGAAATAATGAAAATACAAATGAATATTATTCTAAGATTTCTAACAAGATTGTTGTTGTTGCTATTATAAATATTTTGAAACAAGTACAATGGAATAATCCACTCTATGTTTTATTGGTTAAATTTCATTCATTGATTTGAATTAGTGTTTGAGTAAAAAGTCAATCTTACACTTCTATCGAGATGTAAAGAGTACACTACAAGTTGTGATATGCCCTCCTAAAATTGGATTAAACTAGTAAATTAGTATCTTACGTCCACTAGTATAAAACAAGGGAATATATAATGAATTCAAGAATTCTTATTCCCACATTCTAAATACCTTGTAAATTACTTTCCTTATATTTTAATAAATTTTGTAATTTTTATATATATATGTATAGAGAAATTATCTATACACCAAAAAAAAAAAGAAAAAAGAAATGTCCACACCTTTTTAGTACCAAAAAACATAATAATAAACTGTTAATTGTCATAAATCAAAATACTCTACACTACACTTCATACCAAATTCAAATTAAAAAGTATTATCATTATATATATGCATTAAAGAAATTATACAAGTAGAAGTTAAATTTCGTTAAATGTCATATAAAAAAAAGGAAAGTCATATACCATATATACTTCTTCACACTTTAAATTTATACAGTATTACCAATTTCTAGTTAGTTTGTACATGATCAAAGCAACGACTTTTGAAAAAGTTTCAAAATGTAAGACAAATTACCTTTAAAACAATTTAATTATTTCTTGAATCATCAATAGTGGATTTAATTTGATGTTTACACAATATAATCATTCAATACCAATTTATAAATGGCCTTATATTTGAACAAATTTTTTAAACAAGGGTCTACAATACAATTATAATGACAAAATTCGCCTAGAGTTTAAAAAATCAAATACTTCGTATATATTAAGGGGTGTAGGGTACGTAAGAAGGGGAGTACGACAGCGAGTGATCGTCCATAGAAGAGCACGAAGGAGAGTGGACAGGAGAAGGAGGAGGCGAGTACGATGCCTGAGACGGCTCCTCGGTGTGAATGGGAGACGGCGGTGATGGTGGTACGAAGACAGGAGATGGTAAGGAGTACTTGGGAGACCACGGTGAATATGGTACATCATGATCAGGTGAAGAATTAGTGTAATGTGGATAATAGTAAGAACCACAGTAATTGGGAGATACCGGGGAGTAAAATGGAGACGAAGGAGAGTAAATTCGGAGTTCAGCTGGTGGTGGTGGTGATGTTGTAGGGTGATGATCATTAGGCAGGGTAGAAATTAAGGCATTTTGGTAAGTTGGATTTTGGGAGGGTAATTGGTGGTGGTGATTATTGTGTGGTTTTCGAGGTAATGTTGGGGTCTCGTAAAGGCGAAAAGGCGATGGATGGTGGTAGTGTGGCGGTGTGGGTAGTAGCGGTGGATATCGCGAGGGTGGAGGAGGATTGTAATGGTGGTAGTGGTGGTGGTTGTTACGGTAGTAGTAGGATTGAGAAGGCTTCATGAGTAAAATTGGTGTTGAAGTGTTTTTATTTTTTTTATTTTTTTATTTTTTATCTAAGGCTTAGAATGAGGGAAAAGTTACACCCCCTTTGTATATTTATAGACAAGGGAAGGGAGGGGAGTGCTGAGGCGGTTTAATGTTGGGCCCATAGCGAGTTGGGTTTATGATTTATGGGCTTGAGGATGATTTAACATGCAAAACTTTTTTTTTCTAGCAAAGCCCAATAATTTAACTCTCATGAAAATATGAAAATTAGGGTTGAAAATCGAATACTCCCTCTGTATTTTATTACTTGCTCACTAAGTCACTAGTTAGAATCATCTCAATGAATAGATTATTAATTTTCAATTGTTATAATTTATACTTATTGTCTTTTGATAATTAAATATATTACTGACAAAAAATATGTACCGACATACGTGTCCAAGTAGACAATGAGTTGAGTAGGGCTTGACTCTAGCTCAAGGCGTCTATTTGAATTGTTCTTGCACCGAAATTCAAAGCATGATTTTCAAGAATCAACCTCAATCTAAATACATAATATTTGTGTATGTATTTTTTTACAAACAATCTGAATTCATAAACTAGCTAATAAGAATGTAAAAGATAGAAATTGTCTTGAAATTAACGAACCAAGTAACGAAAAAAAAAAAACTAAGCAACATTGTTCAAGATTTCCGTTCAAAGTGTTCAACATTAAAATGTCAAACGAAACTTCATAACTCATAATATATCATGATACAGAAAATTCAAAAACATTATTGCTTTAACATTAACATCTTATCAATTATTAACACTAAACTGCCATACAAAAATCAAAGGTGCCTTGCTTGTTTTTCTCTTCTTGATCTACACCTTAAAAGGTGTCTCTCCTCGTCTCTTACACCGCGAATAAACTGGTGAAGATGGAGTGTATTCAGTAGACAACGGGGTGTATTCAGGTGACTTTGGTGTGTACTCAGGAGATGACGGAGTGTATTCAGGTGACCTTGGTGTGTACTCAGGAGACGACGGAGTGTATTCAGGAGACGACGGAGTGTATTCAGGTGACCTTGGTGTGTACTCAGGAGACGACGAAGTGTATTCAGGAGACCTTGGTGTGTACTCAGGAGACGATGGAGTGTATTCAGGAGACGACGGAGTGTATTCAGGTGACCTTGGTGTGTACTCAGGAGACGATGGAGTGTATTCAGGAGACAACGGAGAGTATTCAGGTGACCTTGGTGTGTACTCAGGAGACGACGGAGTGTATTCAGGTGACGAAGGGGTGTATTCAGGTGAGTAGGATGAGAATCTTGAATATGGGGAGTATGAAGGAGAAGAATTGGAAGCTGCTGACTCCATTATAATTGCAAAAAGGTTATTGAATTGCTTGTATCTGGGAAAACAAATAAAGGGCACCAAATTTGTGGAGAACAAAGAAGGTTGAATTGCTAGTAACAAATCAATCGCAATAAATTGTGGAGTATAAATAGAATTTGCGTTACTGATCGGTTACTTGTATCTTACAGATGAAGTAACATCAAATACTTAACCTAATTAATATGGATTGAATTTGCTTGGTATCCTTTTTTTTTTTTTTTGTTTATCATTTTGGTCATTAAATTTTATTTATTTATTAAATTATTTCTTTCACTTTATTCAAAGAGATACTCTAAAAAGTTTCCTTAAAAAAAAGAGATAGTATACATCAGTTCTACACTATATAAGAAGGAACAATGAAAACGAAGATAATGAAATTACTATCATATAATCATAAAAATATATTACAAGGTTTAATAATGTCCAAATAGATGTGCCCTAAATGCAGATATATTTTTGTGATTGTTTTACTTGTGAATCTATTATAATAGTAATAATATATGTTTTTTTTTATATAGATATAATTTACTTTTTTTACAAGAAATTAACCTTGTAAAAATCAATACTCTGTAACACAGGTTATAGGTTTCCAAACCAGGTTATAGGTGACCAAAAATTACTTAAAATTAGTTCGGGTAGAACAATTGGACATTGCATAATACAATAAAAATACTCCACTGTTTATCGGGTGTACCCAAAAGATTTTGTACGAGTAATACATTGTGATTGTTTCGTTAATCTAGAACTCCAAACTGGACCATAGCTCCTACAAAGCAGAAACTTAGGCAAGTACTACTATGCTATACCATGTATCATGTCACTAAGTAATATGCTATACAATAAAGGGTTTTTGGTCGTTCGAGTCCCAGAGGCCAGAGCTAATGCATCATACAGCAAAAACCGAGATAAACACATCAATACCTAATCAACAGATGATGGTGTGGTGTCCTTCACTGGCCCAAGATGTTTGATACCGACTTGTTGATGTTCCTAAACAGCTCCTCTCTATGATAACGCAAGGCCCCCAATGAAAATTTAAAAATTAGACAGAGTTGATGAGAAGAAAGCAGGCAATAAATAAAGAAAGGATGAAGAATAAGTTGAAGAGAAACTTTTACTCACCTGTCAGGCTTGAACAAGAGATACCGGTAAATAAACCACTGGAAACAAAAAATATTACATATGAAGTTATACATCGAAAACCAATTAGGATCAATCCAACATTAAACAAGAAGAAGAATAAGGGCAAAGGTTTTTAGTATATAATATGATCACTAATCAGGAGAGTCTCTTCATCATAGGACTAGAAGGTTAGGTAAAATTATTGAGGTTTTAAGCATGAAATTGAAGAGTGAAACAACATATGGGTTGCTGCTATACATGGCCTTCATCCGTTTACCTTATGTCTAGTACATGTCTCTTAACAAAAAAAGATGTGATTAGAAGGTTTGGCCATCATTGAGAACAACATTCGACCAACGTAAAGAAAGTTTTAGAGATTTTACCGTGGGAGGATAAACAATCTACCCAACTTCTCAAATCACATAAATATCTGATTCTATAGACCTACAAACTCAGCCACCCAAACTTCTTTTAATTACTTGCGCAAATGAGAACTGATGTAACTCACCTAACAGCAAAATTCATCTAACAATAAAGCATTGCAGGGGAAGCTTCGCCTTTTGTTTTCAAAGTCTTTTTTGGATATGCAATTATATGAATAGTGACCAAATAGTCATGAGCTTATAACTGTTAAAATAAGAAACCTGAATCATAATTAAGGTCCAATGTCCACATTTCCTCTCCTGACACCCCCCGCCCCCTCTCCCAGGGCTTCTTGTTTCTGTGATATCATTCAGTCCAGACACAACAGCTTAGTAGTCTAGCTACCACCAATATGAGTCTCATAAAGATTAATCAACCACCAGATAGAAAGTTGAAGTTAGAGTAACAGATTGATATAATATTACAGAGTAGTCATTGCCAAGACTTGCAAGTTTTAAGCAAGCATAGTAGGATATACTTACCGAAGAGAACAATATCCCAACAAATTCCAAGAAACCTGGAATCAAAGGAAGCTTGTCGACTGCCTGTTCATAAAACAGATATAACAGAGTCAAAAGAAGGGAAATCCGAAATCTGTTTCTTAGCCATAATTCAAAGCCAAAATGATGACTGGTTATCTATATAGAATTGTAAATCACAAGTTCACAACTACAGAACAGTTACAAAATGACATGAATGCCAAGAAAGTGAGAGAATTGCAAAAACGAATCAGAAACCCAGATTCCAAGAAGTGTTGAGCAAGACTAGATAAATATGACCAAATCGTACAAAAGTTATGTAACTCAAAAACAATCATCATCAATAAAATTTAAGACAATTATCCATGTCTCCATGATGACAATGAGATTTAGAATATTCTCAGATAAACCCAGTCATCACGTATGGTAATAGAAGTTATTGTACTTTGCCAATACACAAAGTAATACTAATGCCATTAAATAAAATTAGAAAGAAAAAAATCCCCTTTCCCTCCTCATTCCACATCTGTCTTTCACGGTTCTGATTCATTATTCATCCCAAGCTACGCTTCTTTCCCCCCTCTCCATTATCTCTCCCTCATTCCTTCTTCCTCTCTCTTTCTCGTCATCTCCAAGATAACCACAATATGCATTATAGCCAGAAGGAGACCCTAATATCATTGTGAGCAAATTTCATCCAAGCAAATGAAAGGTTTCCAGTGAGATGCTTAGCTTTTTGAAAGAAACAGCTTTTAACATCCAAGTCAGTATCATGAATGCAACACTTTGGGAGCTTGACCAATGTAATGCCTGATTTATCAACAGTATTCATGATGAACATTATTGAATGTTTTCTTTAGCTTGTTTTACAATTTTGAAGAGAGAAAGCCTGTCAAAAGCTTGTATAATCTTTTATTATTGCTGCTATCCAAAAATTAATCACGATTATCTTCTTGTTCCACTAATCTTTATATTCACTTTAAATACTGCCGACTTATGGCATTCTATAACAGAATAATACAAGATAGATGTTTTATTAACTAAAAATTTGTGCAGAAATTGAAAGAAAGAAGAAGATGAAAATTCGCATTTAAATCTAAAAATAACAGGCAATGCAAGCTTTCAAGAGGCTTGTACATCAAGGTTTTTCTCTCATTAGTCTTCCCTTTATATAGCCTTCTTATGTCTTATCTATCACAATTTGAAAGAAAGAAGAAGATGAAAATTTGCAATAAAAACGGGAAATAACAGATAATATAAGCTTTTGAGAGGCTTGTTCATCATGGTCTTTCTTCCATCCTCTTCTCTTTATATAGCCTTCTTATATCTAAATACCAGACTAGCTTTTCCTAAAAGCTTATTATAACTGATTAAGTACTGCATTGCCTACACTAGCCCTTTCCCTTAAGCCAGTTCATTACAAAATGTCAGCTTACATAAGAAAATATCAATCAAATTCCAATGGTAAAATAATCTCCGGGCTTCTCTATACTTCCCCCTTCAAGTTTTGTTGGAATAAAATCTATACTATCTATGGACATCTCCAGAGGTTCTGTATACAATACTTCTATTTTTCAATAAATTTCCCTTGTTGCCCATAATTGGAAATTGTTTGTCAAAAACCAACAGATAGATTATCAGAGCATTAACTAATTTAAGGTATTGTCGGAACGGTAAAGTCCTAGTCAGAGAAAAATAAAAGAGAGCAAGTACAATATAGAGTATACAGATCTTCTCAGTACAATCCTTAAGTATAGTTCTTCTTTCTTAAATATACCCACGCACAACCATGCTTTAAGCTCACATAATGCAAAATAAAAAGTCCATAGCACATACCGCAATGACATTAAGTGAGGTCCAAAATGCAATAACAGCTGTCAACCCCAAACCAATAACAGCAATTCGATCTTCAGGGCTATCCCACTGCATCAACAATAGTCCAAAAAGTTACACATTTGAATGCCAAAAAAAAGGGAGAAGAAGTTAGAAATTTGGTATTGATTATAAGTAGTTAATTGTGCTAGATGGATCAGCCGACCAAAACAAAAACAATTTTTAACTTTCAAGTTTCAATTCTACTTGCATTATTGTAGGAAGGTATCTCTTGAGAAGGTAAATACTACATGACCATCAAAGTGGACGCAGAACAGAAGGTAGGGAGGGTGTAAGAAGATGCTCACAAGATTCTGAACTGATTTGACAACATTCAAAGACGTTGAAGAATCAGAACTGTCACTTGTTGCTTTCACAACAACCGCCACACGGCCTCGTCTTTCTGAAAAGAAGCACCCATCAAGATAAGCAAGAAATTTAAAATTTACATGATTCTAAAAGGAAAAAAAAATCAGAAGTGATGTACATAAACTATAGTACATGAACATAATATATGAAACACAAGCTGAGCTTGAGAAAGGATTCCCATTAGGTTGGGGTCCAGGTTTCTTAAGCCATTTCTAACCAGTTGTGAATAGTTTCTGGTGTATTAACATAATAGACATAAATGCAAGAAATACATTAATGGATCGGAAAGTCTACATTACAGACAAACAATTCCAGTTGAACATGTTTTCCTTTCTGCAAGTGTATCTTCATGCACTCCTCTCTAACCCCAGCAAGTCTAGAAATGGACCACTCATCACTTCACTTAGATCACCTATTTCTAGAAGACATGTACCAAAAGGCAACAGCTGGTTTCTATTGAAGCTTCCAAACAGTCTTACCCTAATCTTACCATTGACTTTAATCTCTTATGGATGACAAACGCCAGAGATATCAGGAGATAACAGTTAGTTATTACTCTGCTGTATTACATTTTGATCAATATACACTCTCATGATATGCACCAACAATAATAAAGGCATTTAGGATGAATCCTCATCCCTTAACTCACTTCATGAGTCAAAATACATAAAATGAAAATTGAGACAAGGCATATGGTGTCAAGCCTAAAAATGGGCTTCTGAGAAAGCTTTTCCTAGTTCCTATACCTTATCACTGGCTATTCATCGGCCAATTTACTTAGCCGTGGTGGTCAACTTCTCTTTCTGATCTGCTATTTCTGACTTTGTTACTCTGGTGCCTTCAATGCCAGTAAATGAAATTTTAACAGCAATCTTATAAGTTTTGTGGGTTGGAATTTAGGAATGTCTGAGAATAGTATCTAATTATGACTTCATCAAAAATTGTGTATTTAGACACCTAGAAACAGCAACTATAGGTAGGGTTTCAGCCCCAACAGTCTGTAATCAGACGATATATTAGATTAGGTTTTGCTATCTTGTTAAGGTTGTTTAAGATTGAGTTATATGAGATCTATTGATTTCCCTCTCTGCTTGTATTCACTTCATTAACCCAATAGCAGCTTCAGTCTTAAGATGCATTATAAGCAATTTCATAATACTACCACCGTTACAAATTTAGTTATCACATTACTACTCCCTCCGTCCCTTATTTACAGGCCTATTTCTAAGACAGTAAGTCAGTAACTCACATGTAATAAGGGACGAAGGGAGTAGTTTGAATTACACCATCAACGTGACAATTAATTCCGAACCCAAATAGTAACCCACAAGCAAACAGTTAGAGTATTAGATTTTTCCAAATCAGATAACAAAATGAACATTCATCAACTCCCAGGTTTCAGTAACAACACATAATCCAAAAACAACTACATTCATAGAATAAATTTCAGACAATGATAAACAAATTACAGCTTAATAAAAGGCAGTAAACAAGAAGAAATTGACCTGGAAATGCACAAACTGGAAAGTTTGAAGTGGGTTTCAAAGAGGGTTTTACCCCATTCATCAAAATGGGAAGAGAAAGATTTGCAATTATAGAAGCCATAATCACAGTTTCACAAACCTGTAAAAAAAAAGGTGAGAAACTTTAGATAAAATTCTACAAATTATACAATTAACCAAAAAACAGAGAGAAATTATGTGAGATGAAGAAGATGAATTTGCCTTTATTGTTTTTCAGTAGAGTGAAGTTGAGAAGAGAGAGTGTAAGCCGGAGGTGGGAATGGCCGGAGACAGTATAGAGTGGAAGAAGACAGGTTGAAGAATTTCAAAGTGTTTTGAGTGGCTCATATTCAACACACCTCACCACATAATTCAATAGTCATGACCCACAAAATCTTTTTCACTAGGGGTGGGACTTCGGTCTGGCAGTTCGGTTTGACCTCAGTTTGAAACGGTTTCGGTTTGAAACGGTTCGGGTTAAAACGGTTTCATTTAGACGGCGGGTCGGTTCAGTTCGGTTTTGATTAGTCACAGGTCGGTTCGGTTTCGGTTTATTTTTGTACGATTTAAATTCGGTTCGGGTCATAAACGGTTCGGTTTATAAACAATTCGGGTCATAATCAGATCGGTTAGAAACGGGTTGCTTCAGGGGCGGATTTACTCGGGTCAATGCCGGTTCGGTTTTTAAACGGTTCGGTTAATAATCGGGTCGGTTTGAAACAGGTCGGTTCAGGGGCGGGTTTACCCGGGTCAATGCCCGTTCGGTTTATAAACGGTTCGGGTCATGATCTGACCGGTTAGAAACGGATCGGTTCAGGGGCGGTTTTACCGGGTCAACGTCGGTCCGGGTTCATATCGGTTCGGGTCATGAACGGATTATTTTAAAATGGGTCGGTTCAGGGGCGGGTTTACCCGGGTTAATGCTAGTTCGATTCATATCGGTTCGGTTTATACTCGGTTTGGTGCTAAAATCGTTCGGGTTAGTTTGGTAATCGGTTAAATTGGATCGGGTTGAAATCGAGTTCTAAAAAGTGGTTTTGACCAGTTAGCGCGTTTTGTTTTATATCAAGTTGGGACTAGTATTTCCATTTCATTAGCGGGTCGGCATAGGTTGGTGAAAAAAATAATGGATCGAGTAGAAATTGGGTTTTAAGAGATTTTTGACCGGTTAGCTATTTTCGTTTTATATAAAGTTGGGACTTCGTCACTTTATTTTCAGACATCGGATTATATACAATTACACAAATCTTCATTTATTCAATTATTCTATATCATGTTAATATGTTATGTTTCAAGTTTGGTTATACTCTTGTTGTTGTTTATTCGATATTATCATATTAGTCTATTACAAATTTATAATGTATTAATGTATTATTGTTTCATTATTAAATATATATTATTAGGTTATCAGCTTCTTGTTGGATTGTTTTAGATATCGTGTCATGACCATGTTTTGATGAGTTGCTAATTTGAATACGATAAATCGATTCAGATATCAGATTATATAGAATTACAGAAATTCTCATTCATTCTATATCATGTTAATGTGTTATGTTTCAAATTTGGTTATAGTCTTGTTGTTGTTTATTAAATATTAGTCTATTACAAATTTATAAGGTATTAATGTATTATTGTTTCATTATCAAATATTATCAGGCTATCAGCTTCTTGTTTTAAAGATCGCGTCATAACCATGATTTGATGAATTGGTACTTTGAATACGATAAATCGATAATTGATATTGTAATAAACTAATAATTTAATGTTACGGAACTATATTTGGATGTTTAATTAAAATCACGATTATTCAATTTCCCATTAGTCTAATAAAGTAATAATTGACAATTGTTTGTAACTATTCCATAATTTTGGTGTTAAAGTTATATTGCTGAATTACTTTGTTGTCTTACCCTCTCTAATCACCTTTTAAGATTACGTGCCTACAAGGCTGCAACATATATATGTTGCAACTTGCAAGTTAAAGAAAACGGGTGGGGAAGTAGAAGTATTCAATTAGATCGATCATCAACTGTTTTAAGTTTTAATAATCAGATACATTTATCGATTATCTATACATACCAATGATAGTATGATACCAATCGTACCATACATTATTATTTATTACATATACTGATATACATATAACTAATATACATTAAATATGTCATATTGAATCAATTCCAATTTCCAAACATTTGTGTTTCTTACAATTTATAAGTTACATAAAGTTAAGAGTACAGTAGTGTTTTTATTAGTACGTAGCTATGAATAAAAAAAACATATTATCCAAATCCATTATCCCATGATTCGTGTCACCGTCTTATATTAAATATCAGCCATTGATTTGCATGTCATCTAACGACCTATCATCGCACACATTCCAATTCACGATCCGTGTGTTTTCTTTTCCACCAATCAGATCACTCTTACCATCGTCTCTTTAGTACTCTTTTTGATTTCTCTCTCGTTTTCTTAATCCTCTTCTGTAATATTATCAATTTTTTGAAGCCATGGCTGCTAATATGCTCACTGCTCTCTCGTTTTCTCTCTTATCTCCTCTTCCTTCTTCCTTTATTCTTCTTCCTTCTTCTCCCTTCTTCCGTCTATGTTCTCCTTTCTTCCATCTCGTTTCTCCGTCTCCGTCCACCGGCACCACGCACGACGGTTTTTATGGTCAAATTCGACCACGAAACTCTAGATCTAGTTGTTTCATGATCGAATTTGGCCTTTTCAAACCAAATTTGAGGCCAAATTCAGGATTAATATATAAGGTGTTTTCGTTCTTCTTTTTTTTATTTTCTGTTTTTCTTTTTAATTTTTTTTCAAGTTGTGGGCAACGGAGGGGGCCGAGTTAGGGTGGGTGCGGCGGCGGTTAGACTGGGTTCGGGTGGGTGGGGAGGGAGGATTTTTCGAGGGAGGGAGGGAGTTTTATGGTGGGTGAGCAATTAGAGTGAGTTGGGGGGTTTCGAGGATGTTGGGTTTCGTGGGGGTGGGGTTAAGGTGGGTTTGGGTTTTTTTTTCGATTTTTTTGTATGGGGTGGGGTGGGGTGTGTTACGGTGACGGTGGTGGGTGTGGTTGGGGTTGGGTCTGGTTTTTTTTTTTTTTTTACAGTGACGGTGGTGGGTGGGGTGGGGTGGGGTGGAGTACGTTACGGTGATGGTGGTAGGTGGGGTGGGGTATGGGTCTGGGTTTTTATTATTTACGGTGACGGTGGTGGATGGGGTGGGGTAAGGTTTGGGTCTGGGTTTTTTTATTTACGGTGGGTGGTGGGGTGGGGTGGGGTGGGTTACGGTAATTATGGTGGGTGCGGGGGTGGTGTTAGGGTGGGTCTGGGTTGACGTTGGTGGGGTGGGGGTGGGTTACGGTAACGGTGGTGGGGTGGGGGTGGGTTACGGTAATGGTGGTGGGTGGGGGGTAGTGTTAGGGTGGGTCTGGGGTGACGGCGGGGGTGGTGTTAGGGTGGGTTACGGTGGTGGGTGGGTGGAGGGTGGTTGGATTGGGTGGGTGGCCAAATTTTTTCATTTTTTTATTTAATTTATAACTCCTAATTTAGTTATACAAGAATATAATTTTAATTTTATAATAGGAAAAAAATTTACAAATTTAAATCAATAATTATATGTAAAAAAAATTGTACTGTTAAAAATATATTTCGTGGAATTCTAACAAATTGTTAAAGGCTGTAAATAGTTCAATTTGAATGGAACGGGTTGTAAACGGTTCGGTTTAAATAGTTTGTAATCGGATCGGTTTAAACGGGTTGCGGTTTGAAAATAGTTCGGTTTAAACGGTTTAATGGGTTATAACAGTTCGGTTTAAACGGTTAGCGGGTTGTAAATGGTTCGATTTAAACGGTTTTTTCCTACGGTTTAAACGGTTTCGGTTTATAAACGGTTCGGTTTAATTAGTTAGCAGGTTAACATTAATCGGTTCAAACGGTTTCGGTTTATAAACGGTTTGGTTTGTTATTGGTTTACGGTTCGTAACGGGTTAACATTAATTGGTTCGGTTCGATTTCGGTTTGACATTATACGGTTCAGTTCGGTTTTCGGTTTAAAATTAGCGGGTTATAAACGGTTCGGTCCGTGATGGTTCGGTTCGGTAACGGACGGTTTTACGGTTCGGTTTGAAAAGTCCCACCCCTATTTTTCACTATTGTAGTGGTAAGTGCTAAGTAACACTAGCAGTAGTTTTACCCTAAAAATTTTGTATTGTTCGAATTGCTAATGATATCGCTAAAGTCATTAGCAATTTTATCCGACTTTTATCATAAATGGTGTAAGTTTTAGTATATTTATTTACAACTTTGTCGGTTAAAAATGAGTGTGCCAAGGTTATGAGTTACAAAATGTGTTGCTCAGATGGCATTGTTGTAATTCTTCAATCTTTTGTGTTTTTTTAGAAAGCGTCTTTTAGTTTTTCTTGGATAAACATCATGTCTTCTTCCTTCATTCTTTCTTCCTTCTTCCTCCTCCATATCCCAACAACAATAGCGGATACAACCCATTAGCACATCAAATACCAAACTCAACACCATAATATACCTCAAACCCAATACCAGTTACCACCATTTTAACGGCGAAATAACAAAAACCCTAAGAAAAATGACAAATTTGAGGATATGGTTAACCCGAAAAAAAGGTATTTATCATTTGCTTGTGAGTTTTCCATCAATCCATCTTCCATTGATTTCAAGTTCCATTGTTGCAGAAGTGAAGATTCCTCAACTTCCATTGTTTAAAAGACAACATGATATACCGTGGAATAATTGTCCACCGATTTGCACTAACGCTTTTCCTCTCAACGAAACCGCCCTCTACTTCACTACTTGTGGCTACCTAAAAGTGAAATCCAAATCCATAATTCAACGTATTGGCATTTCCTAAGACGTTAACTCCCCCAATCTCCGGCTTCTTAAATTTGAGTAGCCCCACAGCCAGAGATTCTTGTCGAAATAGTTGCCAAGGTAGTGCAACTCAAACTTTTTAAGTTTTTGGGGTAGTTTTTCACAAAAAATAAAATTAAATGGTAATTCTTCTCAAAACGCGTCATTTAAATAGTGTTCCCTCCGTTTTTAAATACTTGCTCAATTTCTATTTTTGCACTATTCATTTGTCCTAATTTGACTAATGTTTGTGATTTATACATAGTAAAAAATATAGTCGTGTGGGTACTTGTTGAAATCATCTCAATGAATAGATTATTATTAGTGAGCAAAGATTAGCATCGGTATACGTGTCCAACAGAAATGGAGCAAGTATTTGGGAGTATTTTTTTTTGCAAAATATCCAATTGTTAAATTTAACTCACTGCGGGAAGATTCTGTTAAGAAAACAGAGGGAATAAGTTTTATTGAAACAGTTAGAATTAGAACTACACTACTTACACAAAAACATTGACGGGGCTGTCTCGTCGCCGACGAACATCGCCGGCCAATTTTGGGTGATGCAAGGCAGCTTCCGACGATCTTCCAACATTGGTAATCTTCTTCTTCATCTTGATTTTACTTCAATTTAGCTAATTCGAAATTGCATATCAACTTTTTTTCAATTTACTACTGTAAAACTGATTTAACTTAGAAATTAGGGTTCTTATTCTTTAAACCAAGAATTTATTTGCTTACACAATCAAATTCCAGTTTTCATTTCACTGAGCATTATGTTTTTCGAATCAAGTGGTTTAATTTTGTTGCTATATATTAAAACCCTAAAAACCCTAAACAAATTACTAACTATTTTTTTTTATAACATTGTTGCTTGTCTTGCATTAGGTTCAAGTTGTGAATTTAATGCTCGTAATTGGTCTAGTGAAACGACATTTTACGATTCTGGGTATTGACATTGTGACTTATTGGTTATTGGATTAATCTGATATTGTTTGTGTAATCATCATTATGGTTGGTTTATGAAGTTCTTGATCGAGTTTAGTGATGATGGAGATATTCATGTATGTTATACAGAACCGAGGATTATTGGCTGTTGTTTGTGTCGTTCGAATGCCATTGAATTTTTACCACAATATGGCATTACTGGGTTTAGTTTCCTTGATTAATATGTTGGCATGGTATCAGCAGAATTATGACGTGGTTAAGAATTGACGGGTTGAGGTGCTTTACTATTGGAAAGTATTGATTTTGGTGAATGCAGGGGTTAAAGGGGATATATGAAGTAGAGCAGCCACTGGTGGTTAGACTGGTGTGATTTTCTCTTTTTGGTTTACTTTATTTCCTCCGTAAAGTGAGATCTTTGTGATGGAGAAGATACTCAAATCCTATAATCAAACTCAGAATTTTTAAATTAAAATGAAGGATTTTCTCTCCACTGCTGTTTGGTTTGAACGAAGTTCTGCAGCAGCTATCCTGTTTCAAGATTCTCGTTTTAAAATCCTTTCGATATTGTTGTTTTTATAAACGTTTTGTTAAGGTTGACAATTGTGATGAGTTCCCTGGACATGTTGATTCCCAAGATCTTCAGATGGACTGATGGAATATGTTATTTGCCTGCTAGTTCATCCTGGGCCTTTGAGGACCCAAGAGTATATATCATCATTCAAACATGCTCTATCAACAAACCTACTGGAAGTAGTAACTCTATTGTAGTGCTAGACTATTTCTCTGAGAGGACGCGTTGACATCAGTACAATGCTTACAAGATGACCAGCAGCCACGCCTTTTGATGGTATTGGGAGACTTTAAAGTTTCGATTTCAAATGGTTGGTAACAACTTTGTTTAAGACTACTGAGCTGGCTTGGTGAATGTGGGCTGTCAATAGCTGCTTTATTGGTGGCTCCCTGATAAGTTAATGAAATTTTCATGTTGAGAAGCAATGGTATCCTGTAGGTGCTTGGTCTTGGTTGAGTTTAAAACTGAATAAGCGACAAGGGTATACACCAGTGCTTGTAATTTTGAGAAAGTTTAGCATCAATGACAAGAAGAATTGACCTTGCAATCCTCTCATGATTGTCATGCTTACCTGCGTCATTGGTGCAGGTAATCTCAGTCCCGTGGAGAATTATTCTATTTCTCAGCTCTCTACTGTATTGACTTTAATGTCAGAATTTATAATTACTTGTATGAATCTTGCAATACTTTCGTATTTTCCTTTTTTGGTTTGGTTCAAATTTTGTTAGGAAATAACACTTGATGTGAAAATTGCAGTATTCGTTGCAAACTTGTTGACACCTTTTCTATGTTAACCCTTACAACAATTTAATCATTATTTATAGATTTGCCTGTTTATTATGAAAATAGCTAAACTCTCATGCTAGGTAGTGCTTAGTAGCCTGTTTTGTTTTCTCTGACTTGTTATTATTAATGTCTTAGCTCATACTCTTCACAGACAGATCACATTTCTTGACAGGATTTTCTGATAATAGGAATCTTTTTGTTACTGAACAATCGTCGTCTTTTATGTTTTTATGCTGCTTCAATGCAGTGTTATTGTGATGAAGAAAGAACCTATTTAGACTAATTACACTAATTAGGATGCTTAATTAAATCTTTAACTTTGTCAGAAATTTCTGTGCTGGAATTCTCACTTTTTTTTTGGAAGATCAAACTTAATATCACTGGTGTTAGTCAATATTATAGTAGGATTGTGATTAGACAAATTTGGTGCAAAATAGTGTGCCATTTGAAATTTTCATACATTTTGTTGCTCTACATAGAAACATGTCAAACTATGGTGAGTTGGTGAATGTTTTATGTGTTGACGTGTCCCTTCTGGGAATGTGAATGGATTAAGTGATTAACAAACGACTATTAGTTTTGGACAATAGAAATTAAGTTTACTTTAGAGATATAAGTATGAGACTCTGTAATCTGACATCCTACAATATGATGGTTGGTTTCTACTATAATTTGCCTCCAAGCGGTCTAGCAATCCAGACTGTAAGTCCTTAACTCAAAAACTTGTTCGCATATTTGCATATTACCTATATTTGAATCTCCCATGCTGATGGTCAGTGGATGCTCATGCTTGCTCACATGAGCTTTGGCTATTCTGATTTGTGCCTTGACTGATCATTTATAATTTAAGTTTCTGAATCATCAGGATTATTACTGGACACTCAATATCTATAGCTTCTATTATTTCTCCTCCTAGACAAAATTTTTTAAATGTTTGACTTATTTTCTCGTAGTACCCTTACACCTCTTCTGTTTTTTAGGTATGTACTCCCCAAAGATATATAGTGAATAGCCTATGTGTTAGTCTTGAGCACTTAGGATTTTAGGAGTAAGAATTGTGACATCTTGAGATAAAAACAGGTGGTTGAATTATGCTCTTCATTCAGTAGTTGTGGGGAAAATACGCAATATATTGCAACTTCATTTGTTTTGTGCATCTATTTTCTTCTTTGACTTTCAAATGTATCGAATTTCTCTGAACATACATGTTTAATATCAAAATCCATGTTACCCAGGCCTAATATGATGTTGTGGCCTATAAAGAGTGTGAAAGGAGCCTTTGAGTTTAGGCCTCTAACTACATTTTACTAGAGTAGATAAAGAGGAAGTTAGCTGGAACCAGTGTGGCCTGGAACTGATCGCTATTATGGAATGTAGAGCACTAGCTAGGTCAAGTAACTAAGCAAATCAACTACTACTAAATTCTTTAAGAAAATCAAATTTTGCTGCCTAGTGGCCCTAGTCTGATTTGTATCAGTCCTGAATCTACTGATCCACAATTCAGATCAATGAATCAAGTTCAGAATTGCGGATAAGCAAATTTGGCAACCCCTAGGATTGTCCTGGGATTTTAGTTACACCAAGCTAGATAGACAGCAAGCGGCCTCATGACAGTCACCAAAGCAAAAAAAGAAAGACAAGGAATCACTTGGGGCTAAGGCACCTTCAAAAATAAGTTGGTAGTTTAGTCACCTCCATGCCTACATTGCTCCTTCAAGGCTTGAATCACAATCTGTGCATCACCCTCCACTTCAACCTTTCTCCAGTCCATGAGTGATCTTTAGCCAAAGTTTCACCCAACTTAGATCTAATTATGAAAAACAAATTTGTTATCTGATTTTACAATATAGTTCAATAGGAATTATTTTTATTTGATTTTATACTGGGAACTGAGAACTGAGAACATAAATCTTTGAACTCTTAATATTTTCTAAAAAAGAAAAGGTCACTGATAAGCTCATAGAAATATTTTCACTGTGCAAATGTTGGTACCAGCTTTCAGAAATTGGTAGTTCATCAATTTGATCTATGCATTTCCACTTTTCCAAAACCCCAATATTAGCTTTTTAAAACTGAAAATTTAGTTTCACTTATTGCTGGTTTTAATTGCTTAATACGGAATATTAGTTTCTCTGCCTTCTGAAGCTAACTAAAACAATATGCAACTTTGTTCAAGCAGTTACATGTTTCAGTAATATAAGCTTTAGTTGGCAGTATTAGTCGAAATGGCAAAACTTTTTTTGCCTCCTTTTTTTTTTTTTTTTTTTTTTTGGTGTTTTTGTGTTGAATTTTGCTAATTGATACCTTTCATTACCATGTACAGATATTAGGTTCTTGGCTAAAATTACAACATATTCAATGTGCCAGAGTGCCAGACAGAGCTTAATTTTTTAATTCCCGTGCTTGTAAAAGGTTTGTCTTGTTCATAATTTTAATTGAACTTAATATTTCTACTACTACTTTTTCACATGCACCAACACAAGGGCACAATGAATAGGATTCTCATTCATGCTTAAACAGGCAATTTTTTACCGTCTGTTCAAATTACCTTTGCTGCATTTGTTTTTCACAAAAGATGGCTTTTGAGATGCCACGTTTGTTTTTCACCCAGAGATGGCTTGTGAGAGAAACGTAACTAATGGCTGGGCCACTAGGCTCTCCACTGTCGGGCTGTGATTCAAGTTCTGACCATTTGAACATTAAATTGTCTTTGGTTTCCATACGTGTAAAGATATGCATCTCATCCGTTCTATCCTATTGCTCTGATAAAATCCTTAAATTCTAGAACTATTGCTCATAATCCTGAGAAAATGTAGTGAATAGTGAAGGAAATTGCATGTGTTTTCTGTTGTGCAAGATGTCCTTTTGCAGCATTTGGTATATTCATTTCGTGCTTAATATCATGACTAGCACTAATGCTTGCAATCAGAAAATGGCATTTGATTATGGTTGCATACAAAATATGGGCCTTCAGCAACTGGTATCTTTAGGCCCACCCTCCAATGTTTCCTAGCTGCTGGATGCTATAAATTGAAGCTTCAGCACTGTATCTGACCCACTATAATATTCAGTGTTCTGTAGTGTACTTACTGCATTTTACATGTTTGTATTCAATTTATTGCTTAGTGAGATTACTGAGATACACTTTACATGTTTATATAGTAATAATTACTTTGTAATCTAATAAGTTCTGGTATTGGGATTGGGTTATAATTAGGAGTTATTCATTGGAATATTGACTGAATTGGACTGTTAGTTGGGACTGGTAGATGATCTTTGCCTACTTGATCTTTATTAATTATGAGCATCGTGAAAACTAAAAAGCATGATCACTGCTGTGGAAACTCATATTCCCACAATGGAAAGATAAAGTAAAAATTTGGATTTGGTAAAAGATTGAAGGGCATTTCGTGTCCGAAACTATTGCTTGTTTTGCTACGCTTTCTGTGGAACACGGAATTTGCACTTTGAGCTTAATCTTAATAGATGTTGATTGTGATCAAAATTGTCACCTTAATTAGCTTACTTAACCGTAGTACAAGCATCAATACTTTCTTGAACCATTGTTTCTTTCACTGTCTTACGTTTTCCCCTTTTCTGGTGTCATGCTCTCAATGTTTATGTTTACATTCACCCTTTCTGAATTACATTAACATAACAACTTTTTTCCTTTCTTTGTCTCTGCTTGTTGCTCACAGTATTGTGTAATTTGTGTTGATGTTTGATTGGTATCATTGCATGTACAAACTTGATGAGTAGATTCGGAGTTAAAGAAATTGTGTTCTGATGAGACCTCTTTTAGGTACCTGTTGTGCTGCATATACTTGACTTAAGGCTTCTTATCAATATTTCCTTTGTATCCTTACCTGTCTTTAGCTAACATTCATATTGCTTTTTCACCATGTAGATATATAACTCTTTTTGAAACCTTATATTTTTCTTGTTAGGTTGGGGACTGTATCAAACTTATAGGTTTTTATGTTATTAATGTCGAGAGAAAGGGACTAAACATGTTCGAGTTTATAATTGGCTATGGAAGGGAAGTGGTGGGTTTGTGATTTTCTTCCTAATCATTTTAACATTAGGATATGTTTTCTTGATAGGGAAAGGAAAGTTTATACGTCTATTTCCATTCCTTTCCCTCTCCCCATATCTGTTTACTCACTGTTAGTCTAGGATTATGGAGAATACCACGGAAATCGTTCTGGCTGTGGCGAACGGATACGCAATGCCATTAATTAGTATTAATGTTATTAAGACCTTAATAACGTGTCGTAATGATCTAATGGACGAATGAAGTTTTGGTCCAGAACCATCCAATAATTATTCAAGGAATAGGGTTTTTTTGGAGCAGAGAGGAGGGTTGTTACTACTCCGTATTTGTTTCAATTAATATGAAGGGACAAATATAGGTTGAAGAATTTATTTCCTCTGAAACTTGAGCTATTGTGGCCTGTGATTGCATTCATGAATGAGTGACATATACATGTACGGACAATCATCAAAGCCATTGTTCCTATAAGCCCTTTTTCTTTTGTTAAATTCTGGTCACATTGTTTGTCTTTTATTTGCAGGGTCCCTAAATATCTCTTGCACATTTATTCCACATTCATAATCATCATTTTCATCATCTAAAGGCATATAATTAAGTTTGGTACGTGGGTAGTTTTTCATCTGCTTGTCCAAAACAACCATCATATCTTATTTTCAAGACATCAACTAATGACTGTTTGTTGAACCTCAATAACAAAGTTAGATTGTTTCTTGAAAGGAAAAGGAACTCAGGAAGTTTATTAAATATATGATCTTGCCAGTATCTTCATTAATTGCTTATAAGAATTACCGTCACGGCACTCATAATTAGTCCCAATTATTGTCATTAATTTTTTATTTTTGCTGGCTTCACTTATTGTCAAAACTGTGAGATCACCCCGGTAATCTTGAACTATAACAACTTTTGCAGGTAATATTTGCTAGGTTTGGGATGTCATGCATAGTCGCGGTAAGATCAAAAACCTTGAATATGTCCATGTTACCACTTTTGCAGGTAATGTTGCTAGGTTTGGGGCTGTCGTACACAGCTGCGCTAAGATCAATTACCTTTACAATACGACGGCAGTCGGTTGATGCCTGTTGCCATATTAATAATGCTTATTAGTTATTACAAATTGATATCTGGAGCATATGCTAATTGACCTTTTGTAATGTTTGGTACATTATGTTTCAAATTTGTTAGGTTTATCATTATGTGGAAGACTAAGGAGGAAGATGGTGAAAGGCTGAAAGCAAACAGAGACAGTTGGAAAGGAAGAGAGAGAAAGAAATAAAAATGTGCACCAACTTACTTCTTTTTCCATTAGATTAACATAAATCATATATGGCGGTTGTTACACTGATCATATTTTTGTATTCTTTGATAATTACTATAGTTTTTGTATTTAATCAGATATTGATGATTTAATGTGATGGAGCTTTCGTTAGTTTATGTAATGTACTACTGAGTTCTGTGTACAATAAAATATTGAAGGCGTGGGTCATACTCATTTGTCTGCCTTATTTCTAGTTTTTCTTCATTTCATAAATTTACAACCACCTATTATTATTTCTCATTCTCCTCGTGTGTTTTGTTTTTTTTTTTATATTATGAATTTGATGTCTTTATCCTCAAAATAAAATTGTATGATGCCTAATATGTTAACGTGGATGACTTTGGACAGGTCGAGTTTAGGGTTTGGACTACTTATATCTTAAGTTCTTATTGAATTACCGTCATTATTTGAAATAAGTTATTGTTTACTCACATTACTTGTTCAAATTACATTACATCATCACTAGCTAGTTCTAATTGCATACATTATTGTAATAGAACATGTAATTAATATGACACGGATGGCTTTGATTAGGTAGACTTTAGGGTATGGATTACTTATATCTTTACTAATTGTAAAATTATTATCATTATTTGAAATAAGTTATTGCATACTCACATTACTAGTTCAAATTACCAATTGGTTGTTGGTGTAGTGGTGATTGAGACTACACTTGGTAGGGAGGACTCGTGTTCGATCCCTCGCAACAACAATCGGAAGGGGAGTGGAACCTAACCACTCAAAACTGATTCCCGAATTCAGATTAGCCCAAAGGGTGAACCGGGTGGAACACCAAAAAAAACATTGCTAGTTCAAGTTACATTACTGAAATAAGACGTGTAATTAAAATGTGATGGAAGGATGGAATCCGATAATAATTTTCCATTAAGTTGGATAGAATAAGACATTTTTGATGTGTATCCTAAAATTTGCAATATATAACAAGATTCTAAGAGGAAAAAGAGGTGGGGTGAGGAGATGAGAGGGAAAGATCAAATGTATGACACGATGTTTAGTCATTATGATGGTAGACAATCCTTAAGAAAAGCATCTCTTACCCTCCAAAACAATAAGAAAAAAGAAAAGCATTTTCTACTCAAATAAATATTAGTACTAAACTACAACGAGTAGTTATTTTGTTGAAAATTGGTTAAATTGGGTACAACGTTACTCAATGAACTATAGACCTATAATGTTTGTGTACTATGTTGTCCGTGTAAACCTTTAAGAAGTAAGCTCTATACTCTTCATAAGTTGAAAATAAATTTGAGAACTTAATTAGAGGAGGTATATATATCGGAGTAGTTAAATTTATTCACATTTGAGTGATGAGTCGTCACTCATTGCTGGATCATAATTGTTACCAATGATTCTCTTCACTTCGGCCCTGTTCTCTTCAACTTAATTTTAGTTTAGTTCAGTTCAGCTCCAATCAGTTCAATTTAGTTCAGCTTCTAATTTTCTTCTCTCATAAACAATTCATTTCAGCTCTATTCAATTCAACTCAGCTCCAATCAATTCAGTTCAATTCAGTTCAGTAAATCAGAACAGGTCATTCATCTCATATTGCTTGCGACACTAGCTTTTGTATAATTAACATGGAATACTACACTTAATCAAATATTCTAAATTAAATTATTTCAAACCTAAAATATTATTTCAACTCTTTAATAATTATCTTTAAATGGAATATTAGATTTTTTTCAAAAGTAATAATAATACACGCATCATTAATTTGATACTCCATTTTTAAATATTTTCAACACATTTAATCATCCCAACTACTCTGTTTTTTTTTCTTCTTCTTCTTCTCAATTTTAGTTTTAATAATTTTTCTCTTATTATTTCATTTCTCTTATAAACATTGAAATTCGTTTATTCTATGTACACCAGTTGTCTAGACAAATTAATTGTGGAAAAAAAAATTATTACTATTTATATCATGCATTACATGGGCACTAATCTAGTGATAAATAAATCAATGACCTAAGTTGCACGTAAACTTTGTAAACTCTTGATTTAATGAGGTAACAAGTAATGTTAATTAATGCTTACATGTTAGAACAAGTATACTAGTAAAGTTAGCAATAAATCTACACCAAAACTTTATTTGTTGCCCTATCTTTTTCCTTTTACATACAAAGGTCAATAACGATTCCTTTTACTTGTGTGACGACAAGTAAAAAAGGTTTAAAGATTTGTACAACTAGTATGAACTATGAATTGAAGTATCTCAGTTTCATTTCTTTAGATTTACTAAAATAGACGTCATATGCACATTTCATCACTTGGATACTTTATACGAAAACACCAATTTAGTGAAAGTAGTTCATGTATTTTTGGTCGCTCACTTTTTTCATCTTTTCTTGTTTGTAATCTTTGCTCTTTCTTTCATGGTCTTTCTGGTCGTTTTCTACTTTTCCACCTAGTCCCTTTTGCACAAGTCAAAGGATTGTAATACAAGACAACTAGAGATAAGTTTGTACTTCGTAGCTAATTAACTAATTGATCGTGATATAAGTTAATTAATCAATTAAGATTTAAGAGCACTATCAATAAGTCTATCTTCGGAAATTAATTATGAAACCGTGTTTTAATTTTCCTATCCAATAAACACACCACATATTCGGTAAATGATTAACTAGATATGTTTAGTCCACGGTGTTACTTTAGTTTCTTTGTTTCTACGTAATTTTAAGTCTGATTGAGCCATAAGAACAATGCAAATTACCTGGGAATAGGAGGATTTGAACCTACCATCTATATTGTACACTATACAAATTGTCAATTCTATCCACTAGGCCAAAATCTCATTTGGTATTTCTTTGTCTTACTTTGCTTAACGAATTAAATGTAAAAGAGACATGTTGCATAGCATGAGTGGGAAAAGGAATGAACGAAGACTAGTGATCAACAAGAAGATCAATCAATTAAAATGAATTTCCCACTTTCGACATGGTTGTTATGCTCATATGCCATGTGATCATTACTTCATTACAGCTTATTATCTACCATTCATAACAACCAAATTGATAGTCTGAACTAGTTCTAACTATTACTAGTATTATGGAAATATTCTTTCTAGCATTTTATTGGTAATTTGTACTAGTAATTCATATCTCTAAGTAGTATCTCTAACATGTAAACATCTTCATGTTCCTAATTCTAGTAAATTTGTTCATTCAATAAAATAAAAAATTTCATAATTCTTTGAAGGGTTGAAAATAATTATATAATTGATCATGTTTGGACTTAACTTCCTTCTTCCTAAAATTTAAATATTTTTTATATAATGATTATATTATTTTCAGTATACCGAAAGTTAGGAAATTATTCCCTTAAGATTAAGATTAAAACCTAATTTATCAAAAAAATAAATTTACTACAAGAAGAAAATACTATCTATAAAAAAGGATTGATATCCTGATTTTTTTTTTAACTTTTTTTTTTAAATAGTGACCTAAAGAGGCAGCATATATAGTATCCTTACCAACATTTTTTAAAATCCACCGGAAGGGTGGCATCCGTGGTTACAACCTCACCGCACCTAGGTGGTTGCATTCGCGTCAAAGCTTACATATACCTAATCAAAATACTTAATAGGATGTCGCCCTAGCCGTGGAGTTTTAAAAATTAGACCACACACTCCTAATCAAACTTATTGTCTTAAGTAAATTATTATTGGCACACACATAGTTCAAACTATTTTAATATAATATAGGAACAAATAATAATTAACCTACAAAGCTATATTATAAATGTTTATCTTATTGTACAAGATATATAACCATAGCATATTTGACTGCTATATGTTGCTTCTATTCTGTGATTGGTCTAATTCTCTGGTCCTTAAAGTGATTTATTGCTAATACAACAATTGGATCTAGACCTAATTTTTCATGCATGTATTTCGTGGGCTTATTACAACCATTTCTATTGGTTTGTTGTTTATATAAGCTGTGGTTCATAATTTTTGGTACTTGAGAAAAAACAACTAATTAAATTTTCGAGGGACCAACTTAATAAAAAAAATAGCAAGAATTTATGTAATTGAAAATAATACTCTGTATATACAGAGTACTACGGTAATTTCTTTTTGGTAAGGAGAAGGGTCATATTGGACCGGAATCTCTCACAAGTCCTCTCAGCGTGGGTTAGCGGCGTAGGCACTTTGGGAGTGGATGGGGGGAAGGGTAAGGGAATTCCTACCCCAAATGGCCCAAAGTGCCTCTAGTGAGGTTTGATCCCAGATGCAAACCTTATTACTACATCAAACCATGCTTAGTAACTACGATAATATATACTTGTGTTGAGCATATGGCTTGCTTATAATAGTAGCATAATTAGGTAGGTTGGATTAAGATTTAACATACACTTGCTCCATTTTTTTTATTAATGTTTTTGTTAAGAATCTTACTACTATATTCACAAATTTATTAAATCATCTATATTGTTTCTAAAATATAAGAAAAATTATAGTCACGCATGATAGTATTCATCTTATTAATAATTTTTTTTTGAACAACGTGCGTGTTCGGCAGTAGCTTTTAGGTATTTTTTAATGGTTTTGACCAAAATATGAGCGTTTGGCAATGTAGTGGTACAAGTAGTGTTTAATGATAGAGCTGAGGTAGCTTTTATCAAAAGTTAGAACCATTACCTTTTGAAGATTAGAGGTCATAGATGTTGAGAATATAATCTATAGTTTTAGGAAAATAATATTGAGTTACATATATACCCAACTAGTCAACCATTACTTTACCAAACACTCATACTTTAATTAGGAAAATAATATTGAGTTACATACATATGTACGCTCAATGTTAACCGTTTATAACTCTTACTCTTTTTTTTTTGGTGAGAACTTTATAACCCTTACTAATCATATAGCTAATTATATAACTAATATATAAAGCTAAACTTTTAGGCAGATCACGAAATAGTGACACTTGGCATTCTAACTTTTCGCCAAGTGTCGCGCCACCTTGGATAGATTTAAATAGATTCATAAGATAAAAAATTAGTTAGAAATTCTTTTTTCAATCAAACTAGGATAGAATTTTAGAATAAGATGGTTAGTTTAGAGTTTTATTTTCGATAAAATACCAAATACTCCGTAATAAACTTATAATTAGGCCACAAGACAACATCGTATAGCATTTTAACTTTTCGCC